CAACCAGAAGTCTTTCTGTGACACAAGATGATTTAAATACTTCTAAGCTTTTTTCCCAAGCAATGGGATGATTATTATTCCTAACATGAACGAACAGGGCACTGCTTTCAGATGCTGTTCTGATATTGTACTTATGTTGTTTGATTTTGAGCTGCAGTGTTTTTCCCGTCTGTCCTCCATAATTACCATTACATTTGCTACATGGAATACAATAAACACTTCCATCTACATTCAAACTTGGGCTATTTCTTATTAACATATTGGTAATGGTTGAGTCATACTTGAAAACAACATTAATATTTAGTAGCTTGAGGGACCGAACTAACGGGACAAATTCATTACGATAGGGCAGAGTCAGAATATTCTTAAATGTAGGAATTTGCCTGGTTTGAGAGGAATGAAAGGATTTTTTTAGCCCTTTTAAAACAACTATCAACAAACGAATGTGTTTCAATTCATCGTCAATAAATTCAGAGTCACAAATACGCAGACATCTTAAAAACATAGCAGAAAAAACTGACATTTTGGTAGACTCCAGGTGATTCGATAAAAAGTGTATGAAACTATCTACCTGTGTGGGCTTTCTGTATATCTTAAATTTGTAGTTTTGGCCATTTCTCATGATAAGCATATCAAGGAATGGAAGGGATCCATTTATTTCTCTTTCAATTTTGAATGTGATACTTGGGACAATATCATTAAGCTTGTCTAAAAATTCCAATGGGTCACTGTTTCTAGGCCAAAGACAAAGAACATCATTTACATATCTATACCATGGAGGACGTGATTTGATGCATTGCAGGGACTGATGGTAGGGTTTTTGTTGTTATAACGTTATTACTGCACTTCAACAACTAAGGTCTTTAAGAGCATAACAAAATTGGTAATACAGTACACTAATACTGTACACTATTCCACCAACAAGTAAAAATTATGAGATAGAACTCTAGTGGGGTTAAAGGGACTGTCCTGTTAGTATAAAATGGAGTTTTCTGACAAACCTCTGTTTCCCGTAACTGGTTTGGATATTCAAGTTAATAAATGTGCATTAGCAAAATTTCCGGCAAATCTTTAAAAAAAATATAAATGACAACGAACTCATGGGCGAGATATCAATGACGAATCAAATTACTTTAAGTAGTGATAAGCTTTCACGAAATGCAAACATCTTGATTCGATTTGCCTTTCTAACGACGAATGGGAGATAAATAGCTCATTTTACTTTTAAATATGACGTGGTCCAAATATTCCACCACATTTAGTTGACCTCGTAAGACAAAGTTTTCATGCAACCGGCATTTATCAATGTAGACAACACTTTCTATACTTTAAATCTAACGGTAAATTTCGTCTCATTTTTTTTAGGTGACAAGATGATCGCCTCATGGCTCCACTTACTAAAGGCTATGGTCTCCTGTGGTCTCTGCTTGTTGGCGAGTGCTGGAGCCTTATCAGTCGTAGGATCTTCCGTTGATAGCACCACAGCACTTGGGGAAACAGCTATACCGTCTTTGAATATGGCATCTCACAAAATAATGGTACAGTCTTCAACAGCCAACACACTCGACTTTGGGAGTATCAAGATGAAATTTTATGAAGGAATCAACAATATCTTTCATGTTGCGCAGATTGGGGGCAAGGATGACATATTAACATCACCTGACATTGATGAATCTTGGGCTGAATATATGAAATATGTACGTCAGTTTCTGTGTTTAATCCCCATGACTGAGGGTCATGCACAAGATATTGAAAAGTTCCTAGATGAAGGTCCTCATTACCTGTGGGGACAGTTGTTGCCATTCACTCAGGGAGATCATGAGAATATGATAGTGGATGGCGAGGACACAAGTGGTAACGGAGAGAGAAAGAACAACACGAGCATAACTTTCACAACAGGAAATTTCAGTCCTGTCGGTCAGCACTTAAGTTTGGCTCGAAATTTTCAGCAGTCTGTTTTGGACTATAGTTCATTAAGGCACTGGTGGGAGAGAAGTGTGGGAATACTTCAAGCATATTTGTTCTCTCATCAAGGTGGCATGGAAACTTTTACCAACGCTTTGCTCTCTCAACGTGTCTACATAGAGTTGCCTCCCATAGTACGTGACTTCGCCAAGTACGACCCTGTTAAGTTGACCTTGAGCTTCTTCGTCATCCTGGGAATTCATCTACTTTTCTGTAAGTTATTATTTTATTTTACTTGGACGTCCACAAATTTTATTGTGATATTCTTGGGTACTGTACTTTATTTACTGGTATTTAACTGAATTTTCTCTCTTTTGTGCTGTTTCTTCGCTAGGTCCCCAAATAAACCTTAAAATCTTAATTTTCCAGAAAATACACCTCATAATTATTTACCAAAGTGATCATTTCATAATTATGAAGAAAGTACAATATTTCATGAACATATTACCAATCGTTTATAAAATATATTACCTTCTATTATTCTGAGTTCTTATTTATGCGCAACACTTAACTAGTTGGACTAGCCAGTACGCTGATAGATGATGATTAAGATGAATGAGCAATAATAATCAGTGAACAGGAAACACATACAACTATTGCATTTACCGCTAGAAGTCAGCAGTTGGCAGTTGTACAGCGTCTAATGAACATATGACTTCGCTATGTATTTAGGTAACTAAAAAAAATAAATACGTACTGTAATTTAATCCAATGTGTTTCTTTCAGGGGTTACGTACATCCCCTTGATAGAGAGAGACGAGTTCGCGGATTATTACGATTATTACGACTACGGCGAAGAGGAGGAGGAAGAAGTAGAAGAAGAGGAGATGGTAGAAGAAGAAGAAGAAGACGATATGGAAGAAGAAGAAGAGGAGGAGGAAATGGAAGAGATAGACGAAGAGGAGATGGAAGAGGTAGGAGAAGAAGAGAAGATGCAAGAGGTAGAAGAAGAGGAGATGGAAGAAGTAGGGGAAGAAGAGGAACAAAAGGAAGAGGAGGAGGAAGAACCTACTGACATTGAACAGTGTGTTCAGGATGATGATCTGCCTGACGACGTAGATGATGGTGGTCAAGAGGCCGAACAAAACTTTGGTGGTCAGTGTGAAGATCAAATTGACAATCAAGGCACCCACACTGATGGACAAAATGCCGATCAAGGTGATGGCCAAGTTGATCAAACTGCCGTCCAGTTTACCGATGAAGATGGTAATGATGCTTTTGATCAGAGTTTCGGCCAACTTACCAATCAAGGCATTGATCAAGGCACTGTCCAAGGTTTTGATCAAGACATTAACCAAGATTTTGATCAAGGCTTTAACCAAGGTTTTGATCAAAGCATCAACCAAGGTTTTGATCAAGGCATTAACCAAGGTTTTGATCAAGGCATCAACCAAGGTTTTGATCAAGGCATTAACCAAGGTTTTGATCAAGGCATTAACCAAGGTTTTGATCAAGGCATCAACCAAGGTTTTGATCAAGGCATTAACCAAGGTTTTGATCAGAACACTACCCAGGGGCTTGATCTAAGTGATGATCCAGGTGCAAGTCAGATTCCTGGAGACACTCAAAGACGACGACACAGCGGCTGGCCACACCCCTCCCTCTATAATACTAGATATCCACTCATCCTTCACCACCAGAGGTACACCAACTATGGGAACAACCGCAAACAGGCTAACAGATACGTCTACAGGAATAGCAATAAGTACGGATACAGGCCGATCACCATCTTCGGTTACAACTATGGTCCTACTGTAAGAAGGTCGCACCCCACCGTCAGCACCAAGATGGCTAACATCTTCGGAAAAAAAAGTAGATTATAAATTTAGGCAACTTATCGGCTCTTATGTAAATATATCATCGATAATCATTTTCTTTTCTTTTCGCACGGAAGTGAATGCTCCTTTTCACATGCATTTAGAGGCGTTTTTATCTTTCTCATCGTTATCTTTTTATACTTCCGACCTCCCAAGGCATTTAACATTAAAGGTGTGCGTGCAAGCTTACGTGCGTCTGCTGAACCCTTTTTAGGTATCTGTCTGATAATGTTTACGTTAGTAGCTTGGCTATCTGACGTCTTGCGGGGACATGTTCCATGGATACATTTTGTATTTCTTTAAGGAATTTTGTAGAAAATTCAATGAGTTACCACGATTTATTCCTTTAACTAAAACAAAGGTCTTCATATTTTTAATTCTGAGACAATCTGGCTTCCGTAAGTGAATACAGCCGCTCTTAAAATAAAGTAAAATCAAAACTACAACGCCGGGACCTAACTCTTCTTGAAATTACAATCGCGTAGTTATTTTTTTAATAACGCATATTTTATTCAAGCAAAAGTAGTAAGTCCATTCTTTTTAATTATTTCTTAAATTTGAAGATGATAGCAGTTCAAAGGAACTGTCAAAAATAAGATATTTGGTCACCTAAAAATTAACCATCCTAACGCTTACCAAATACCCCAAGTAGCGTTAAAATCGCTAATCTTCGAGTGTTATAAGCTGGGGTGTGAATTTTCAGGTGACAGATATTTTAACCCACTGAATACGATAACTTAAACCTATATATCATTTTACCTGGAAGGGTTTAGGTTATCATACGGAAGGGGTTAAGGGATGCACGTTAAAACTTCATTCATATTCATGACGCTGCCACGTCGTTATTATTTCATGTCACAGGAAGAAAAATAATTCCTAAATGAAAGTCTGGTCATCGACCTCTTCTAACATGACACGTGCGATTCGTGGTTCCACTTCATTCAATAGTTTTTGAATCTAATTTGTCAATGTTTTACTCGCTTTATCAGAAGTTGTGTTTAAATTTAAATCCTGGGAATGTGTTGCCCCAGTGTTCATGCTGTGAGTGCATTTTTCTTAAGAAAATAAACACCGTGTTCATGACTCAAATCACAACTAATAATGAGATATATAAGATGTATAAGGATAGTACTAAAAACACTTTTAAACGTTTCTTCTCACCCTCTCTATATTAGTTTGGTCTTCGATTTCATACCCTAGTCGAGTTTGCACTACATATTGCTAATCTACTTTAAGGAACGCCTCCATACAGTGTAGTTATAGTGGTAAAAGAAGATCGAAAAAGTTTATGAAGTTTGATATCTGTATTGTGTTGTGAAGAACCACACAGTTTGTGGGTCACTGTGTCATAAGACGGACGCTACATGCTCCCTCCTGGGTCATCGGGCAGATGTGGGGCAGCCCGCTCACTCGCTCAGTTCCAGTACGTTCCTCACTGTGTCCACGGTGACTCTCACCTGCTGCCTGGGGTCTGCTGACACCAGCTGATGCACCTGCAACACAGGGTGAGTATCCAAATTGTATTGATATGTTGATGATCATGATTAATTTACCTTTGTGAAATACTTGGATAACGATGCCAATGTCGTCTGTCATTTTACTGCACTATAATGATCACCGTTCACCACGGCCTGGGTACGTGGCATAAATAAATAAACAAAACTGTCGAGGGGGGGGGGGGTGATGGAGGTGCACAGTCACTATTGAAATTGTCCATCTATTATCTGTGTGCTCTTGATTTAAGAGGAATATGTTGTTATGATTTGTGGTTTCGGAGGTGAAGGAACTCAATATTTTTACTTTAACATATTATGCAGTCATGTGTGTTGTGGCCCAAACGGTGCTTCCAAGGTAACTCGTTCCCTGTAACCGAACTTGTTGGTGAATTTATTTTAAATATATTGTAGATTCTCGGTACATTGGTGAGTCGTTGTCCTTATCTGAGACAAATTTGACCAGGAATGAATCACGAGGATAAAATTTTGGACATCAGTCGCATAAATGCTGTGATGTGTCCATAGAATGACACATTGCTGTCAGTGTAACAAGAACTATATTGAAATCTAATGCCTGGTACAGTTTCCATAGATGACTTGTATTTTTGTCAAGAAACCGATTAATGGACGGTAGCTACTGAATAAATTTAAATAAAGTCAACGATCAGGTACCGTATTTACTTGAAGTAACATCACACCATTTTGTATTTGATAATGATAGTATACGGTCTTTTCCGACTTCCACGATCTCAACTTAGTTTGCACGAGACAAACAACAAAGATAGCTGGATATGTGCTACATTGACTTTGTAAGTGAAATAAGATAGATTTTTATTATTTCTAACTAGACATCTACAGTACAGAGAGGAACAGCCACACTACAAACAGTACACCGGAGACGAGTGTTTTCGTGTGTAACGTGGTTAGTGAGGATGCTGGATGTATGGTAGATGTGGTAAGTATGGTTTTAGGATATTAACTTATTGTTGTAATGCGTGAGGTTGAGGTTATGTTGGATGTAAAGACTGGGTTCTGTTGTAAGCGAGACAACATTAAGGGTGAGGCTTGGTTACGGGGGATCCTTCACTGCAGGGACGCCGGCGCGATTATTGTGTGTATGTACTGTTCTCTGTAAGTGTAGGTCGTGTTTTATACAACTTATAGTTATTCTACAGGCCTGGCTAAAGAAGAACGGCAAATTTATAGCGTAATACAAATTTTTCGTTTCAAGGAACAACATATCGGGTGTCGGCTGGAGGCACATCGGGAAACAAATTTTTCCCCAGTGGAAACAAGGAGGTCGGTAGATACACCCACCATTCATTCTGATTCTGCGGCGGTTCAAAGTGTATCTTAGCATGTGACCGAAGACATCTCATTTTATGGTGGACGGAATGAGTCCTCGAGTCATGTATTCGTACATATGGGAAATGTCTGAAATCTTTTTCATTAAATGGATACCTAGTTTAATCAAACCTCAGTTACGAAGGTGCAGTATACTGTATTTTGTTAAGTATAGTAAGGTGAATTGAAAATATGATACAGTAATACGTAAGCATTTCTTAGTTTATCCTGGGATAAAACCATGAAGGGCGTCGACCTTGCAGACGCTGGACATGAGTACAGTAACTGGTTCTGGATCTAGGTTTCTAGGGCACTGGACCATCCTCGATCGAGTAACAAAATCTCTATACAGTCCAGCTTTAAAAACATATTTATATCCAGCTGATTGATACATAATGAATTAGAAAACAAATTACAGCACACGTATAAAGAATGTGGCTGACGTATCACAATACCAGCGGGTTGGTAGTAGTGTGGGGTTATGAGATATTGGTTCACATTCAGGATGAGATAAGAACATAAGAACATAAGAAAATAAGGAGTCTGCAATAGGCCGGTTGGCCTGTGCATGGCAGCTCCTGTCGAGAGTTACTACCACTCTCTATCATCCATGAATCTATCTAGCCTCCTTTTGAAAGGAAACTCACAATGTGCTCACTGTATATATATTGTATTGGATGTACAATGCAGCTTGTTGCTGGGTAGGTAGCATGGTAATAAGCGTTGAGTAGAGAGAGCTGGGTGGTGAGGGTGCCCAGAGTGAGGGCACATGGCTTGAGGGACGCCTAGGTCGCCGGCGGGAGCGGGAGCCGCCAGGCTGGCGCGGAGGAGGAGGTGTTGCTTGCTGGTGGCACTGGGTAGAAAAAAGAGGCTGGTCACAGCGGTGTCAGGCCTTATAAGGCTGGGGTAGGCGTGGGTAGATAGTTGACCCCCACTCCGTGGGCGGCGCTGGAGGTGTAGGCTGGGGAATTCGAGAAGGTTCGGTGCTTGTAGGGGAAGAATCCACTACAGTAGAACTGAAAAAGCAGGACTCGTGAACTAACCGACCACTTTTTGTAGCTAACTTTCCACATGTAAGGCGGCGTGACTTTTGAGGGCCACTCCAACCTCGGGTAGAAGTCTTGAGTTTAAACATGAAAGCGTTATTCTGCACCCAGAAAATTTATGAAACCAATATTGCGTTGAGAAGAATTATAAAACAAAACAAAACAAACCGGTTGTTTGGATAGTTTGGATTTCACTATACTATCTTTTTATACTGAAGTAATAGTTTAGCACCTATTTTTATATGCGTTTAAGCAGAGAAAGTAGTCTCTCGTTCTTTCTTGATCTGCTGAGGAAGTGCATCACAATCGAGGTCTCAGACTCTCAGCTACGTTCTGAAATTGTGAAGTTGTGCCGGCAGTAAACAGGAAAAAATGGGTGTTCTTATACATTTCACTCACTCGAGAAAGTATGTAATAAGGTGAGATCTGTTAAAGGTGGAGAAGAAGAGATAATTCAGCCTTAACAAATTATATGCTTATGTGTGTATGTTACTTACGGACATCGTTTGGCGCATATGAAAAAAAAATGAATATTAAGGTTATTAGGTTACTGTTATTTTTACTTTTTACTTTTATCCTCTTCGCCACTGATCGGCTTGTTAGCCGCTTGGGCGATCGGTCACGTCTCTTTTCATTTATATTCTTCACCAAAAGATCGGCTCGCTAGCCGCCCTGGCGATCGGTCACGTCTCTGTCACGCACTGTTGGCAAATACTGGGCATGCACCGGCTCCTGAATGTACCTGAACCCGCTCCAGTGTTGGTCAAGTCTTCTCTTGAAAGAGCTCACACTCGGTGCCGTCACAACACTCTCTGGTAGATTGTTCCAAGAGTTTACAACCCTCACTCCGAAAAAGTTTGCCCTCACGGTTTTCTGGACTTGCGGCTTCTTCAATCTTGAGCTGTGACCCCTTGTGGGGCGAGCGTCCGCCAGCTCCAAGTAAGGACACTCAACTGAGTAGTGCCCCCTGAGATGCTTATAAACCTCAACTAGGTCCCCCCTTGCCCGTCTGTAGTATAAGCTAGGCAAGTTCAGGCGCTCCAATCTCTCAGGGTAGCTGAGGTGCCGAAGTGCAGGCACCAGTTTGGTGGCCCTCCTTTGAACATTTTCAACCAACTGACAGTCCCTAGCATATCTCGGGGACCAGATGGGGTGACAGTACTCCACATGGGGAAGCAGTTCACTCCTGAAGATCGTCACGAGGGACGGACCGTCTAGATATCTGAACGACTTTCTTATAAGACCCAATAATTTATTTGCCTGATTTACCTTCTTCTCACAATGGCCCGAGAACTTCAGCTCGTTGTCAACATACACACCTAGGTCCTTCTCACACACAGTCTCAACTAGTACATTTTCTTCATCCCGTTGGGACATATGATACGCCTCCTTACCGTTGGTACGCCCCAGGTGCATCCTCTTACACTTCGTGACATTGAATCTCAGCAGCCATTCCTTCGACCATTCCTGGAGCCCACAGAGGTCCTTCTGCAGCTCTTCACAGTCCGCTTGGTTCTTAATTTCCCGAAATAACTTGCCATCATCGGCAAACATTTGTATGGAGGAGTGTACAACGTCAGGCATATCATTTATGAAACAAACAAACAACAGCGGGCCCAATACACTACCCTGCGGTACCCCACTTGTTACAGGTACAGATGACGATTTTGTGCCATTAATCACCACACATTGTTTGCGGTCATGTAGAAAGTCTTCTATCCATGCTAGGACATTTCCCCGAATTCCGTACCCTTCCAGTTTGATTTTCAGCCTTTCGTGGGGTACACTGTCGAAAGCCTTGGCAAAATCTAGGTAAATATTGTCGATATTACCACCCCGTTCTAGAATATGGGTCCAAATATCCAATACCTTGAGCAATTGTGTCAAGCAAGAGCGCCCCGGCATAAAACCGTGTTGGCAATCTTTTACAAGGTTGTTTCGTAGTAGATGTTCCATCGCTGCATCTCCGATAATACTCTCAAGTACTTTACATATTATGCTGGTCAGGCTCACCGGTCTATAGTTGTTCGTGGAGTGACTATCGCCCTTCTTGAAGATAGGACTCACATAAGCCACTTTCCATTCACTGGGGACCATTTGTTCATCCAGGCATTTAGTTCAGTTGTAGATCTAAATTAACATTCGACACTCGCCGCCGCTGACTAATCGTTATACTGTGGGGTACGCGATATTTCTCCATCCTGTGTGAGTGCGTGTGGGGTTATGAGATATAGGTTCACACTCAGGATGGGATGGAGAAAGGAAACTCACAATGTGCTCTCTGTACACATATTGTATTGGATGTACAATGCAGTATGGTGCTGGAAAGGCAGCATGGTTACAAGCATTGAGTAGAGAGAGCTGGTTGGTGAGGGTGCTCAGAGGAGGACCACCTTGTGGGTCGCCATGGCCGCCGGCTGGAGCGAGAGCCGCCAGGCAGGAGCGGAGGAGGAGGTGTTGCTTGCTGGTGGCTGTAGGTAGAAAGAGGGGTAGGTCACCACGAGGTGAGGTCTTATATAGCGGAGGTAGGCGTGGCTTAATAGTTGACCTCAGTCATGTAAGGCGGCGCTGGTTGTTGACCTAGACCACGAGGCATACACTGGGGAATTCGAGGGTCGGCTAGTCAGCGACAAACGGAGTTTGTAGGGGAGGAATCCACTACAATACTCCCCCTTCCCTCCAGGCCGTTTAGGAGACTTGTTGTCTGCAGGGTTGCATCCCACATGTGAGGCAGAACTGGCGGTGCAGGAGACTTGTTGTCGGCTGGGTTGTATGCCACATGTGAGACATAACGGCGAGGGCGTGGATGAGCCGGCCGCTAGGGGAGACAACTTTGTCTAGACACACGAGATCTGTGGGAGAAGAGAGGGGGAAGGAGGGTTGTGGAGGCGATGAATGTTGTGCTTCTCTCGCGGCAGGTACAGAGTCCTCAGATGCGCCTGCTGGGGTGTGTGGGTCTGGGTCAGGAGCAGGGGCTGCGTCAGGAAGAGGGTCCATGACAGCAGCAGGGTGCACGACAGCAGCAGGGTCCACGACAGCAGCAGGGTGCAGGACAGTAGCAGGGAGTACCTGAGGGAAAAAAAATGGTGTTTGGGGCCGCCTCAGGCGCATGGGCCGCTTCGGGAGCAGGGGCTGCCAGGCAGGAGCGGAGGAGGGTCCAGGACAGTGGCAGGGGGTACTGCTGGGCCGGGGGCGGCGTCTGAGGCAGGACGGGTATGCTGGGGTCGGTAGGACGTGGTGCTTGGGGCAGGAAGAGGAGCTGGTGTCTACTTAGAGAAGCAGTGCTGCTCTAGGGTGTCTAACCTGTGGTGTAGAGACAGTAACTGTAGAGCCGATGAGAGCTGCCTCTGTGTGGATAAGCCAGTCTTCCATGTTGCTTGAAGACTGGGAGAGTGATCAGTTTCTCCTCCAACCTGTGTGAGTGCGAATCTCCGGGGGTCACCATTTGTGGGGTATGGGGGTATTTCTCCTCCATCCTGTGTGAGTGGTCACTCCGGGGTCACCATTTGTGGGGTTATGCGATGTTGGTTCACACTCAGGATGGGATGGAGAAAGGAAACTCACAATGTGCTCTCTGTATACATGTTGTATTGGATGTATAATGCAGCTTGGTGCTGAGAAGGCAGCATGGTTACAAGCGTTGAGTAGAGAGAGCTGGTTGGTGAGGGTGCTCAGAGGAGGACAAGCTTGTGGGTCGCCGGCTGGAGCGAGAGCTGCCAGGCAGGAGCGGAGGAGGAGGTGTTGCTTGCTGGCGGCTGTCGGTAGAAAGAGGGGTAGGTCACCACGAGGTGAGGTCTTATATAGCAGAGGTAGGCGTGGCTTAATAGTTGAACTCAGTCATGTAAGGCGGTGCTGGTTGCTGACCTAGACCACGAGGCATACACTGGGGAATTCGAGGGTCGGCTAGTCAGCGACAAACGGCGTTTGTAGGGGAGGAATCCACTACAATACATTCTACACCAACACTCGTTGTACCTGCGGGCTGTTCCACATGCACGCCCACTAACCATACATGTTTCTTCCAACACTTACTCATTATATTCCACATCCAAATTAATATCATCCATCTGTTTTATCCACATCCATACTAACCTCATATTAACCATAAAACTTATATATTCGTAATCCACGCTAACTTCACATTAACCATTCAACCTTTATATTCAACTTCCACATTTAACAAGCCACCGACTTCCTTTCCCCATCAAAGAAGTACTGTATATTGAATTCAAATACAGTGTATTAGAAATGTATAGACTATAAACATGGTGCCTAATTACACTGTAATCTATCTAAGGAGGGTGTACATGTGTGAATGTTTGTTTTTATTATTATTAATATGAGCAACAATATTTGTGTGATCATTTGTATTCCAGGAGGGTAATACCATCCTATGAACTAATAGGTATTTATGGAAAAAAAATTGGTTCACATTTTCATGCCAGTCTCTCTGTAACTACCTTGAGGCAATTTACCACTGTTAACAAAGCGATTGACTTTAGTGTCTACATTTAAAAGACCTAATTGATTTTATTACCTAGGTGGCAAGATGGCTGGGACGTGGCAGTACCTGCTGGTGGCGATAATCTCCTGCGGTCTCTGCTTTTTGGTGTCTGCTGATGACAGTCAAGAACCCGGAGTCGGCTCAATCGGAGGATCCTCCGCCGAAGGAACCAGAGACCCCAAAGAAACTATTGTACCCTCCTTGGATTCTCCTACTCAGACACCAATAATGCAGTCACCAGCAATGTTTAAGTCACTGGACTTCGAGAGTATCATAACAGAACTGCCCAACAGATTCGATAAGATCTTACAGTTCAGCAAGGTGATGGATAAGGACACTGTACTTGAGACAGATCTAGCGGACGAGTCAAGGGCTAGATGGATCAAATATGTCCTTCAGCATTTGCCAATAATCCCAACGAAGAAGGTTGTCCCACAGAACATTGAACATCCCATGAAGGACGCCCCCCGCGCTATGTGGAATCAATTGTTAGAAACAATTCTCAAGGGATATAATATAATTTCGGTTGATGACAACGTTACGCATCCTGAAAAGCAGGAAGACAACGATGTCCACACATTTTACACGGCAGTCAACATCGACCCTTTTGGACAGTTCTTCAGTGTGGCAACAAAGTTTATTAAATCCATCTCTAATTATGATTCAGTACATACTTGGTGGAACAAATTCAGAGATATTTATCAATATTCAGCCTTCAGCGAGGGAACGACACTTGATTCGGAGAAAAAAGACATTGGAAGATTAAACTTGGGCATTTTTCAATTTCCACTTGCCTTTGGTCAAAATGATCTTCTGAAGCTGGCCCTCAACTTCCTCACCTTCCTTGGCATTCAGTCACTCTTCTGTAAGTATCCTCCATTTTCAGCAATTTGTTTTCACATTTGTAGATGATATTTTCATAGCTTTTACTTATTCCCCTAAACAAATAAGACACAATACTCCATATTGTATTTCTTAAGTAATTTCTACTGTATTATCCTATATTTCGTCCCCATAACTTTGATAAAATAAGTTCCTTTAACTTCTCAAGGACACAAGCAAAAACAAATAAGCACCAATTTAGACAATACATATCAATTCAATTTCAATTTCAATTGTTCATTCCTTGATAGAGGAAGCGGGATCCTAGTGCTGTCACTAGGTACCCCTGTACATATCAATCCATAATATCCTTGATACATCGAGAGTAAGATATGAGACAAGTATACAATCCCTCCACGATGCTTGACTACCTCGTCATAATTCACTGTATCTTAGTCTTTTGTCTAGCATCAGACCTTCCTCATATCCTTCCCTTTTTGTGCCGGGTTTACTTATTCAGTCCATCCTTTTGTACACCTTATGTCTCTCCACCCAATGTATGAATGAGTTAAACTAGTCCTATTAATAAACCACAGAATTTAGCACCTGACCTCAGCATGCAGCATTAGATGAAAGAAATCACCTGAAGTTTTGCACTCCCAGCTTTTTCTATAGAAAGAGTAACCACCTTAGGCTAACGTAAACTAACATAACCCCCAGGTAGCATCAACCATCAAGGTGGAAAGGTGGAATAAGCATGGGGGATGAATCTTAAGTTGATCTGATGTCAGTGGTGTGTTGTACATATATTCAGTAATTTTGTTTGAATTCCCATCCTACTTACTTAATATAATCCCTCCTTCAGGGTCGGCCTATGCCCCCACCCCGTTCACGGTACTGGAGGACGAGTATGACTACAACTATGATGACGGTGACAATGGGGAGGGAACTGCGGACGGTGGAGATGACTATGACTACAATGAGAATGATTTTGGTGACACTCAAGGTTTTGATGGATTTAATCAAGATGATAATGAAGATCCTAATCAGGGTTTCGGTCAAGGCACTAATCAATTTGGTGGAGAAACACAGAGACGACGCCAGAGTGAATGGCCGCACCCTTCCTACTTACCCCAGGTAGTTTCCATCGCCCATGGGTTAAAATACAGACAGAAACCTCTCTCCAGAAACTAGTATGGATACAGGCAGAAGAACTGGACTTTCTGTGCTGACACACCTCCGTCACCACAAGACCACCAATATCTTCAGCAAGAAGAAGCAGATGCACTGGATGCTTCACTGGCCCCTTAGTGCTATATTCAGACACACAAGGTGATAATATCAACTACTTAACCACAGTGAACAACTTGTAAGAACTGGTATACAGTACTGTACTGTATGCGATCTTCTGTTTTCACAATTTTTCATTTTTGTATGATAAATGCAAGTCACGTTTCCTTTACTACCTTCTGAATTTTATTTTTTTTACTTTTACTTTTATCCTCTTCGCCACTGATCGGCTTGTTAGCCGCTTGGGCGATCGGTCACGTCTCTTTTCCTTTATATTCTTCACCAAAAGGTCGGCTCGCTAGCCGCCCGGGCGATCGGTCACGTCTCTGTCACGCACTGTTGGCAAATACTGGGCATGCACCGGCTCCTGAATGTACCTGAACCCGCTCCAGTGTTGGTCAAGTCTTCTCTTGAAAGAGCTCACACTCGGTGCCGTCACAACACTCTCTGGTAGATTGTTCCAAGAGTTTACAACCCTCACTCCGAAAAAGTTTGCCCTCACGGTTTTCTGGACTTGCGGCTTCTTCAATCTTGAGCTGTGACCCCTTGTGGGGCGAGCGTCCGCCAGCTCCAAGTAAGGACACTCAACTGAGTAGTGCCCCCTGAGATGCTTATAAACCTCAACTAGGTCCCCCCTTGCCCGTCTGTAGTATAAGCTAGGCAAGTTCAGGCGCTCCAATCTCTCAGGGTAGCTGAGGTGCCGAAGTGCAGGCACCAGTTTGGTGGCCCTCCTTTGAACATTTTCAACCAACTGACAGTCCCTAGCATATCTCGGGGACCAGATGGGGTGACAGTACTCCAGATGGGGAAGCACTTCACTCCTGAAGATCGTCACGAGGGACGGACCGTCTAGATATCTGAACGAACCTTCTTATAAGACCCAATAATTTATTTGCCTGATTTACCTTCTTCTCACAATGGCCCGAGAACTTCAGCTCATTGTCAACATACACACCTAGGTTCTTCTCACACACAGTCTCAACTAGTACATTTTCTTCATCCCGTTGGGACATATGGTACGCCTTCTTACCGTTGGTACGCCCCAGGTGCATCCTCTTACACTTCGTGACATTTGATAAGTGTGGCATTTTTATCACCAGAAATTTTAAAGTTCAATTATGAAGATGAATTAATTTTTTGCACCAATGACTAAAGCTGTTTTTAAGATGTCTTAAGTCACATCTCTGGACAAATTACAGGAAAAACTTTCTGTTAACAATTGAACATGCTGCTTAATATTCCGAAGGTTCTGGGATGGCGGGGTTTCCAGCAATTCCTTCCTTGCTGCTATTCATAACTATAAGTAGTTATAGTATTGATCCTAAACCCCCTACCCCTTTGGGTCAAAGCCATATACGAACTAGTTCAGTTCCTGAGGACGTTCTTAAATAGGAAATGTACGTAAGTCGGAACACATACCCTATGTGCACTATATCATAGCCTAAGTCCTTTTATAAATCTCGAATCAATTTACGAGAAAATAAGAAATTGTACGACAAATTACAATAAAGGAAGCTAAAAATTAAAGTTTAACACTTACACTTAAACCTGGAACTGGCTTGCATGTAGAGATGAATGTTTGTAGGAGTGACAGGCTTTATTGGGATGGTTGAACTGAAACTTTCTTCTTTTCGTCATAAATCTCTCTGTAGCATCTTAGATATTCGGTAATACCTCTGTGAATCTTGGTGAATCTTGCTGTTGAAATGTAAGCAATCCTTTTGCAATAAGCCTGAAACCATCTGCCATTTCTTTTGTAATGAATCCCTTTGGTTCTGGAGTTTCAGATTCCTCTGACAAAATTTGATTCTTGCAAATCCAGAAAACTGTGAGGGGTAACTTTTTCGGAGTGAGAGTTGTGAACTCTTGGAACAATCTGCCAAAGAGTTTTGTGACGAAACCGAGCGTGAGCTCTTTCAAGACCAGACTTGACAAGCAGTGGAGCAGGTTTAGATACATTCAGGAGCCAGTGCATGCCCAGTACTTGCCAACAGTGTGTAACAGAGACATGACTGATCGCCCAAGCGGCTAACGAGCCGATCAGTGGTGAAGAGGATAAAGGTAAAAAAATAATAATAATTCAATCAGGTCCTCATTGCTTAGTTCTTCAGCATGAGACTCAAGCAACGATGTGGCATCATCCTCGTGAATATCAAGGTAGAGTTGGTTCCCAAGGTCTACCACTGTCTGTGTCGCTTCCCCAGCATCATTTCAAAGTCCCTGAAATTGTAGACAAACTGTGGGCAGTGTTTTTTACAAACACCTTTGCCCTTACCTTGAACTGGTTAAACCAGCTCCTACTAGCAACAAAATTTTCCCCATCACTTTCATTACCATGTTTAGTCTTCAAGTCAGCGTGCAAGCTTCTCGCTTTTTCCTGAATCAACGCAAGACTTAAGACGTAAATCCCATTGATTTTTATCTTCCACCCATATCACTAACAGTTTTTCCATTTCAATTAACAATCCACTTCTTTGTTTTGTTGTCACAGTTGAGTGCAATGGTGTAGATCCTTTGAAATATTCAAGAATTTTCTGTTTGTCTTTCAAAATTTTTCTGACCATTGACCGACTGAAATCCAACGCTTTACCAATCACTGAGGGTATTTCGCCATTTTCAAAACATTTAATTACATCAACTTTCACTTCCATTCAAATTGTTTTCCTTTCTTTGATGCACTACTATCACTTACATCAGGTCTGCAATTGGGAGCCATGATGCGGGCCAAAAAAGTGAGTTAATAAGCAAAAAACATCAGTTTGCACTTGATCATGCATGTAAGGCAGTGAAGGTAAAGTGCACCGACGCTCCCTCAAGGCATGTAGCTGGGTGTGATGCATCACTTCCTACGTGCCGCCTCCCCTCTAAGCCATGCAAACTAGTTCTTGCATGTAAATACTACAAACCAGTTGTACTTACGTATGTCGTTCTTTTTAAATAATTGACCTTATGGGACCTTGTTCGTATCAGCGGGCATTCTTAAGTTGGGGACCCCCTATATACATACTGTACTAGATATATTTCTCGTCAGAAGCGGTCATCCCAACAATTATGAATAAACTTATTTAGAGATACCTTTATGTACATCATTACTTCAGGATGAAATCGGACAGGTATGCAAAAGCCAATCAGCTGTAACTCTTGAGGAGTGGGCGGAGCATCTCTTCTCAGCTGGGAAAAGACTATAGTGACATGGATTAAATGACCTAGACTAAAAACTTTCTCTTGCTTAGGAACAGTTAATAGAGGATATTAATTAATAGTGTAGCCATGCACATGCTTTACGTGCTGTTGTAGAGAACACTGACATGGGTTTTGAATTTCAAGTGCACGTCTTGGCTCAATATCCCATGCTGGATATACAAAACCATGTACTGTACTGTATGATGAATACAGAAATGGTCTGGTCACACAAGAGAATCTTCAACTGGCACCAAGTCATCGTCTCTTTGCCATTTCCGAGAAGCCATTGACACCTAGTTTGTGCTCTGTGGCCTTTGCTCGAGTCTTTTTAGGTGAAAGTACTGTAAGTGTATACCTTAGGGACTTATCATTATTGTTATGATTTGTTACTGCAACTATTGTTATTACCAATATTATATTGCTCTATTGTTTTCCTCAACTTGTTGATAGTTTGTTGTTCAGAGTATACAAGTATTTCATGCCCAGTCAAAATACCTAGAGGAGCTGGACTCTGCATTCAGCATTTTCAACATATTTAATTTCCTATAGCAAATATATTTTCGACTGGCCATATCAATCAAGAAAACTACACTCTGGTGTGCAAGATATACAAATCCAAATACAGTACAGACTACCGGGTAAAATATACAGTGGTCCCTCAGTTAATGAGCATAATTCATTCCAGAAGGTTGCTCATTAACTGAAAAATTTGTTAACCGAAATCAGTTTCAATGGGTTTTTGGGTAATTGGTTCCAGCTCACCGAAAATTACATACAAACTAAAAATAAATGCAGTAAAGTACATTTACTTTGAGGTGTGCATGTAGAAGGCTCCTGGTTGATGATGATGATGATGGGAATTAGAAGTGGGGTTGGAGGAGAAGGGAGAAGAGAAGACAGTGGGGGTGGAAGAGAAGTCACCCCATGCCGCCATTTCACCCATAAAATTTTATTTCACTTGGTGTAATTCAAGATCATTTTCTTTAAATCAACACTGCATTGCGCTATATATTATCAATATGTAAAATATATTTCAAAATGACCAATAATTTGACTGGAAACACAGAAAAAAAGCATTTATGTTGAAGAGTCTCAAACAAGATGTTTCTTCCACCGAACTGGTAAACAAACTGACACCAAGCTTGGTGTGTTGAGTGGCTGTTTGGCGCACAAAAAAATAGTTTCCTGTACTTAAATTATGTTCAATAATTGTTAAAATGACTAAAAAATTTAAAATACAGCTTTTAAAATTATTGAATAGTACAACCTTCTTGATATTTACTAAAATGGTAAGGAATTTAAGTCCTAAAACAGATTACTGTATTGGCGGACTAATACTACAGCTGGTGGGCAGCCAAATGCAGGCGAAAAAATGTTGGAAAAAATTCGTGAGGAATTTGTTTACTGAAGTGAAGAATCTTATGGAAGGTAATTCGTTAACCGAAGTGAAGAATCTTATGGAAGGTAATTCATTAATTGAGGCGCTCGTTAACCGAGGGATCACTGTATGCATATTCTCCCATTTATGTAACAAAGCAAACAGATACAGTACAGTAATAATATAGTAGTTAACAGCAAAAACATTATACGTGCTGTACTGTAGTAAATTCATTACGGTATACATATGTAGTGTAATCAAAATGAGAGATGCATGCACAGTGGTAAGTATATTTAGAAAGTCATGTTATTTAAATACCATTATGTAGCATCCTTATAAGGCGGCTTTACATTCTCATAGCTGTCTTGACTTATATTAGGCTTTAGGTTCTCAAGACATGGTGGAAGAAATTTAACATTCAATACCTTTTCTTATTTCTCCTAACCTTTACCTACAGATGCTTTTTTACATCAATATGTCCCAGACTGGATAAATAAATAGTTATCTTAGCATTTGTAAGGTAGAGAATACGGTACAGCAGACTAAAGCCCGTATTATTAAACAACATCTTCCCTTGAAGAGGGTCATCGTGTTTCAAACCAAGTTTTAAACTAAATGAGTCCTGAGGGACACCGCAGTACTGTACGTAACGGGGTGGTGTGGCAGTAAAATTAACTAATTCCAATAAAATTAATTTATAATATTGGAATTAGTTAATTTTACTGCCACACCACCCCGTTAAGTACTGTACTGCGGTGTCCCTCAGGACTCAATTAGTTTAAAACTTGGTTTGAAACACGATGACCCTCTTCAAGGGAAGATGTTGTTTAATATAATTGGGCGTGAGTATCAAACAAAATTTGTTACAAGAAAGGTTAACTGATATTCTTCTGGACAATGAAATTTTATTTGCATAAAATGTACATGATGCATAACTTTGATCATATGAACACAAATATTTATGCAGTGTAGTCTAATATTTCTTTCAAGAATAGAAAAAATTATTCTGTGGACATGAGTTCAGTAACAAAATGTAATGCGCAGTGACAGCCCAGTTATTGCAATTCACATATGGTGGCCATAAACGCATGCAATAACCATCCAGCAGCACTAAATTCTCTTCAACATTTCTGAAAGTAAAGTAAATTGGTAAAATATAATCATGTACAAAAAATTAACTACTACAGAAAAAGAGGAGACATTACATACATAAGGAAGTTTAAAGCTTGTTTCATTTAATTTCAATGTGTCAAGCTTATTAACTTTAGCCTTGAATTTTATCCCACAAATGAATCATCATAATCTGTGGATAACTCGTGCATCATTTTTTCTACAGGACTTTCCTTATACTCAAACACACACATAAAAATAACCAAATTTCATTCTCAAACAATTAACCATTTTGGACAAGACGACCAGATTTCTAGGCATCTGTGTAAAACAATGCACAGAGCAATGGATTTGTTTCTGAGCAAATAAGTACTGGTGTGTGATAATGCGGGAACATCAGGCTTGATAAGTCAGTGCATGGTTCCTTCATGACCACACAGCACACACTACTTAAAGGAATGACAAGTTTTATTTATAAATAAATGATGTAGCCATAGCCCTTTGATTAGTCATACTAGTGTCCTTCCATAAAATGGGTTAAAAGGGCATAACCTTCAGTCTTTCACTGTACATCATAGGAAGAGCAATAAACTTGTCACTAAAGGGCACAGCTATTAAAATAAATTGCTGTTTTCCAGGGACTTGCTGTCTGTAAATGCCCCCTGGTGACCTCCTTGGTTCCAGTGCCTATGTAAATGTAAACACACACACACACACATCTATATGCCAGGTTATAAAACCAGTAAAGATATTTTAAGGCTTGTTGAAGGGAATTACCTAAGCAGAACATATCTCTTACATATGTAAAATTCAATGAATGACACTGAATGGATTGTGTGTGTTTGCTCTTTATTTTAACCACAGCTTTGTTACTTACGCATATAATACCCAAACCACATACAGTACACATATATTCCAGATACCAAGACAACAGGCTTCTTCAGCATGAACTGGTAAATAACGGGGAGTTAAAGTTAACAATGATTGTGGAAGTTGATTATTAGCTTGCACTACTTTCCATTCTGTTGACTAGATTCATTGCACAATAATACTAAGATCCATGGAAATTCAGCTAAGCCAAAAGAACCTATTTATATAATCTATGGCTTTTGTCATATGTGAAGAAAATAAAGGAAATTTTTGCAGCTACAGTGTATCAGCTCAAATAATAATGACTACTACAAAATGCTGTACATCATAAGAGTGCTGATTGAATAGTACTGTCTATGGATGCTCTTATGTATCATTATAAAAATACAGAGGACTGCTCTTCAGCTAAAGCTTGTCATTTGCAATAACAGCCCTAGTAAATACAGCAAAGCCTTGTTAATCTGGATGTAGCTTAATCAGGAACACATGGTGAGTGTCTTGGAATTTATGTCAAGCAATGTGTCAATTCTTAGCTCTTCCATTCTGCTTCAAGTCTTCATGGTGTGTCAGATCTCAGTGCTTTTACTGCACCTTCCGAACCTCAAAAGATTTTAAAATTTCATGAATAACTGTAAGTGTTTAATTGCAGATTTTTGAGAAAGTAACTCAAAATTAGTTCAAGTGATTTAATCATACAATACTGTAGTACATGATAGTTTAAACAACTGCCCCTACACAACCTACCTTCATTGCTTCTACACTATCTTCAGCAGCGCTTTGGATTAAAGGTATGCACCTAGTTATTAGGTAGTAGGTAACTTCCAAACTTGGATGTACTCCCACCTGGGAAGATATTGGAAGCATAATGTATTGTCTAATGGTAGACCCTGCTGCCATATGGCATCACAAAAATTGTGACCAAGTCCCAGGTTGCTGATCTGACTTTCTGCCTCATTTACGCACAATTGCAGGGTCTCAATTGTTTCTCTTACTTTTGACAACACAACATACATATATTGTTTCTCACTTTTGATCTCTTTTTAATTCTTGTATGAATTATTATTATTATTATTACTGCATGTATTACATTTCTGCCGCCAAGGCCCCGATGTGGGTCGGTGACCGGGTGGGCTAATCCCCGTATGTATAAAAAAAAATCACCTTTAGGTATGTTTTACAAGTTATTATTTGCCAATCATTTCTATATGGTAGGCCTTCGTGCTTTGAAATTTGTATTAATCTGGATATTTTGCTAATCTGCATCACCTTTCCTCCTAATTAATCTGGACGAATGGGGTTTCACTGTACAGTAGTTTGAAAACACTAAAATAATGCTGACTGAATTGTATCTGTTTATCAGACTATCATTAATTATGATTTTCAAGATAAAAGAAATACATGAACCCATTAAAAATACTACTCTACTTGCAGGGAGGGGATGTTTCAGATAAATTTCAGTTACCATCTTTAGTGAAGTACTGTAAGTACAGTATGTTACAAATGAGAGATTCTGAAGCCTTGGGTCACTTTCATTAGCACAATCAAGTATTTTGTTAAATAATGAGTCATTTGCAAGCAATGGCTTGGCACTGTCATGAAACAAGTTAATTGTTCTGAGAAATAATAATAAACAAACAAGCTAATTTACAAAAAAAAAAAAAATATATATATATATATATATATATATATATATATATATATATATATATATATATATATATATATATATATATATATATATATATATATATATATATATATATATATATATATATATATATATATATATATATATATATATATATATATATATATATATATATACATATATATATATACACTAAGAAGCTTTCTGAACTACATAATTTAGTCAAGAAGATTTTGCAATATACATAAATCAAGTGCTTCAAATCCCTATTATTTTACATATTAAGCAAGTGAAATGTAAGTTTCAATTACTACAAAATTCAGTGAAAGATTATACAGGTATATGCTAAATTACTGTCATTAATGCTTCACTTTTTTGTAAAATGTGCCAATGCTGGCCTTTACAAATAGTCAACATATCATATTCCAATCCTTAAATAAGACGTCTTGGTTTGTGTGGCATGGCTGATAGTTTTTTTAGAGAGAATGAGGAGATGCAGAGGCCCAAGCCAACAAGGACAGCCGCTCCTTGTAAAATAAAGCGATCTTGGTGTGTAGGCTGTCCTCCACGACTTCCCTGCATATAAAATAATAACAATAAATATTATTTGAGGAACTTGTCCCCAACTGATTCAAAAATAAATTAAACTTGAAAATTTAATCGCCAGTAATCCAAGGATGTCTAAAAAGAAATTTACATAAGGTGTTTGCTCTAAGTAGGATATTGTCTATATGTAATACTGGTAACAAGATAAGACGGGATGTAAGGAAATAGGTCAAGACTGTTAGAGGACACCATGGAGATGGACAGACTGAAAACCTAGATGACCACTCACTACCGTAAAACATATAACTGCAGTTGTGTTGTCAATGAAAAAGAAATTTGAAGAACGAATCTACAAAAATATTTAAATAATCTTGAATATAACTTGCTTGCAATGTGCCTAACTCTTAGGGTAAGGAGGATCTACTTTACTAGGTCATTCAAATGGCTCAACAAATTGAGAACATGATATTTTTTGACTTGTGACTTTTTAAACCAGTTATAAGGACAGTTTCACATAACACTGACACACATTGTGTTCTCAGAAGAGTATTACAATAGCATGAGTAGACCTGAAAAGATTACAATACAGAGAAATAAATAGACTAATTTTACTCACGGGCAGCATCCTCATTGGCATCCTAAGAGGATATCTTGATACGTGAGCCAACATGTCCCCGTACACAAGTCTGAGGAAAAAAAAAAATTTAATTTACAAAATTGTCAAAGGCATCTTAGCTTATGTTTGGTTAGGACCCAACTGGTGGGTTCAAATTTTATTTGGTGAGGTGTGGTAAAAACAGCACAATAGTGTACAGTACAGCTCCCCGACTTATGACGGGGTTAGGGACCCAAGTCCAGGTCGTAAAGTCGAAATGGTTGTAAAAATGCTTAAATAATACATAGAAAATCTAAAATGGGTGTCTCTTTTTCTTCTCAGCACCACAAAATTCTCACTTTTAAGCTTGCCAGCCATTTTAAAGTGAATTACAAACAAAAATTTTGTCTGTACTGACGTCGGGACTCGAAAATACAGTGACCCCTCATTTGACGAACGCCTCGGTTAACGAAATTTCGGTTAACGAACGGCCTTCCATAAGGATCTTCAATTCGGTTAACGAAAAAAAATTCGGTTAACGAATTTCTTACGAACCGACCTCCATGTTTTCGCTTGCACTGACCGGGCAACCAGCTTTAGTATCAGTCCGCCAATACATTAATCGGTTCTAGGGCTTAAATTACTTACTATATTAGTAAATATCAAGAAGTTTATACTATTCAATAATTTCAAAAGTTTAATATTCAATTTTTTAGTCATTTTAACAATTATTGAACATAATTGAAGGTAAAGTGACTAGTTTAATGCGCGGCATCCAGCCTCTTAACACAGCAAACAGGTGTTAGTTTCTCTCTGTTTTCACTGGAGGTAACATCTTGCTTGAATCTCTTCAACTAAACGCTTTTTTTCTGTGTTTCCAAGCAAATTATTGGTCATTTTGAAATATATTTTACATATTGACAAAATATAATGCAGTGCAGTGTTGATTTAAAGAAAATAATCTTGAATTACACCAAGAGAGCTAAAATTTTATGGGTGAAATGACGCCATGGGGTGACTTCTCATCCACCCCAATGCCTTCTCTTCTTCCTTCTCCTCCACCCCCATTCTAAATCCCATCATCATCATCATCCAGGAGCCTTCTACATACACACCTCAAAGTAAGTGAACTTTTCTACCATTTTTGTTGAATTTAGGAAATTTTCGGTGAGCTGGAACCAATTACCCAAAACCCATTGAAACAATGGTTTCGGTTAACGAACTTTTCGGTTAACGAACGACCTTCTGGAACGGATTGAGTTCGTTAACCGAGGGGTCACTGTACGTAATTTGATAAAATTTTGGTACGACTGAGGCAGGTCGTAAGTCAGGGAGGAGCTGTATTCCACAAAGACTGCCATATTGTATACCAGTGTCATGTTATGATCCTAAATTGTATTCCAGTGTTTGTGGAATAATTACCTGGTAGGTGAGTACAACGACCAGATTAGGCTAGGTTTGGTAAGATTAGGTCCTTATAGGGTAGTTGTTTTTAATTCCACATTTTCCATTTTAAAGTCCAATTCACATTTGGTGTGGTCAAGCGTGACGGGGTAGGAAGGGTCATAACTCAACAATTATGCATTTTCCTAAGCTTTCATAAACACCACTGTATTCAGCATGATAAACTGCATTGAAAATTTATTTTTTTCAAATGGTACTTGTATTATTTGCCAGGTGTTTGCAGAATAGTACTGTAATTACCAAAACCACAATGGACTCGTTATCAAAATACAGCCATTGCCCACAACCAATGGCAGTCACACACAGTAAATAGAGCCTGGATTGCAGTTTCAAAAGAGGAACTGCTGCCATTTAGGTAATATGAATCTGGCCACAAGTCCCTTTTCTCAGACCCAGGTCAGTAGGAGCTACTGTACTAACATAGGTTTGGCTCTATTTTTTCTTCATACAGTTTGGACCTCGTTAATCTGGGACCCGATTGTCCGGCAGTTTCGGTGGTTTGGGATGTCATTGCTCACTTCTAGTGGCTGTTGCCACTATTTTACCTCTAAATACTCATAATTTACCCCTAAATATGCCTCCTAAGAGACCAGCAAGTAGTAAAAGTGGTTGTAATGCAGCGAAACGTAAGCATGTGACATTAACTATTTTAGAAAAGGTGGTTCAGAATTTTCAATAATCTGGAACCGGTCTGGTCCAAAGCTTCCCGGATTAACGAAATTGAACCTGTACACTACATACAGTAGTTCAAAATGTGTTACAGCAAAAATACTGGTCTGACACTCATATAATAAAAATTGTTTAGTGCCTACTGTGTCAAAAAAAGAAAAACTGACAATGAAAAAATTTCTTAAAATTTTCAATTTACAGTACAGTATGCCCTTTAAAATGGCCATGATTAACATCTGCTTACTGGGAGAGAGAGAGGGGGTGGGGTGTTACATTTTTACTTGTGCACAAAGAAATGTACTGTATATTCCCTTTATGTATTTGCCCTTAGGACAATTTTTTCTTTTACCTGTATTGTACCTGTATATAGGTATGTGTGTGCAGGGGTAGAAATTCACAGACAAGATTTTACTATTTTGCTGGTCTGGGATCGCCCGATGAGCGAGTGGGCCGATGGCAGTGGTAAGACACACTCAATGTGTATAAGAGCTCCATATAGAGAATACACTATTATGTAATGCTAGTTATCTTAATTGTATCACCGGTATTGCAAGTGAAAGGGATACTCATTTTCTGTATATAACACTATACAGTATGAAAATGAAAATAAAATATATACACTCAATTATATAGTGTAGTGTGATAAAACTGGACAAATGAGTTGGTGCAATGCCACCTAGAATACCAGGCCGGTTCAGGGATTATATGACGTCACACACAGATACCACCGCTATTCATGTCGGTGTATGGAAACTGTGCATTGTAATGAATAAACGCAGTCTATTTATGTAGATATACAATTATTATTGAGGAATTCATTTCTATAAATAATATATAAAAGCAATGACAGCGAAATTTAATACATGAATGTATAATAGGCAAGAATAAAAACAATTGACAAGTGATGAAAACTGCCTTCCCATCTACAATCACACCATTTATTATCAAAATACTATTTCAAGTACATATTCAGATTATCACCGATACAAACAAGCGATCGAAATATAATAACGCGTACGAAATTTTACAACTAATTCACACAGTCAAAATCAAATACTGTACCGTAGTAATTGACTACTGTATTGTATTATAGAACAAAGTGAATTATAAAGATATAGTACTGTACTCTAATGTTATCATTATTTCTTTTGCATAAATTATATATTATTATTATCCAAGTGGGAAGCACTGGTGGAACTACACCAGGTTTCAGTCGAAGTCGATCCAATTTGTATGTTATAGTTCGTCCAGTGTGTTCATCGAAATAACTTGATGACCGTTGATAATAATCAGAGGATTTAAAGTGCAATTCACAAACCTAAACACAGCAAGTTCACTTGTTAGTTATACAATGTGAATTTTTATTATCTTTTATTCAAAATAAGTGGATGAATATGGTTTACATTTGGATTAGGAGATAATTTTGATATATTGGTACGTTCCAAATTGCTTCATCACAATGGAATGTGCTCCATGAAATTAATTTAGTTAATACAGTATGTGATTATTCGAGTGTTGGTTTATGATTTCTACTACTAAATAAATGTCACACAGTAAATATGTGCTCCATGCAATTAATCTAGTTAATATGTGATTATTCCAGTGTTCAAACTGTATATCTGTGCTTCATGTTAATAATTTAGATAATACAGTATGTGATTATTTCAGTGTTGGTTTATGATTTAACACGGTTTCTACTAGTAAATAAATGTCACACAGTAAATAGAACTTTGTATAAACCCGGTAGGTGCCAATGTTTAATGTTTCTTGACAAATTGTTTAAGGGCTAGTAAAAATTTATAAGGACTAGTAAATTTTCAAATCTACTAGTCCTGCTGGCAACTATGAAAAAATGGTGAATTTCTACCCCTGTGTGTGTGTGTGTGTGTGTGTGTAGACACACAAAACACATACAAATAAATAATAATGGGAAAATCCTCTCACAAATAATCATTAACAAATGTATTAAAAATGTGAGTGTCTACTCTCAAGTTCACTCTGGACTTTGTTATTAATAAAGCACAGAGCGTACTTGAGGGTCTACACACACACACACATATACAGTATATACAATACAGGTAAAGGAAATTACTGTATCTACCCGGTAGATTGAATGTCTCCCTGTCCAGGCCGCAAAAATGCCAGCAACTTTAAAACTACCCACAGACATTCTTGGGTACATCCAGGGTGTCATCCGCAAATAATCGAGGTCCGCGAATTATCCGGGCATACTGTAATTCAGCTTCTGCTCTTACGATGTTGAGTTATCAGGTAAATTTCAATAATATACTGTAATTACTGTACACATTAATTTTTTTTTTTAGGTAATACTTGATGAGTGTTCCAGCCTTAGTTGTGCATGTTGTTGTCTGCTATGTTTGTTTACAACCAACCTGCGTGGTCTGAGCATACTGTACTCTCACATCCACAAAAAAGGTAAAATTACCGGATATCAAAATAAGTACTTTATGTTAATACAGTATGGCAGGCAGTCTGGGAGTTCTATTAAGTTAGGTAAGGTTAAGTTGATTTTCGAAAAACAAAACAAAAACATTTGCACAAAAATATGGTGAATATTCGTCCATTGGCGGTCCTCAGATTTTAGTGCGAGAATAGATTTTTTTTTGTGTGTGTGTGTGTGTGTTTTGGTCTTTTAACCAAATCTGACCTTCATTTCTTGTGTAAATTTGCATTTGTTTTTGCGAACAAATGAACATTTTCATTTTTAACAAAAACCGGTAATTTGCAAAAAATAGAGGTCAGATTTGAGTAAAACATGGTTAATATTCCTCCAATGACTATCACCAGGATTCCACTTTTCAATATTGCAGACAATTTCTTGATAAAACAACATGCGACTTCATATCATTTATTGTGCATATCAATATTAATGGAGTATCTAAAAAATTTCTTGGCATATATTTCTGTTCTAGCCATGTTTACCCATGGCTATACTCACTTAAATCACTTGTCTTCTAGTACGTTAGGTTAGGTTCCTTGGGATGAGAATATTTTTTTTCTTTTTGGAATTTTACTCAAATCTGACATCCATTTTTTTGCAAATCAGCAGTTGTTAAAAATTAACATTGATAAAGGTGTAGAAGAGGGTGACCACTAGAAGGATTTGTCCAAATTGGTTACATAATTTTTTTCTACAGACTAATATCATGATATTAAACACAAAAATGGAAACAACAATGCATAGAACCTGACCTAACATACCCAACCTATGGGTTTGTTAGGTCAGGTTCTATGCATTATCATGTTAATTTATGTGTTAAACAACTTACCTTTATATTGAGGTTGATATACATCAACAATGCCGAGGAGGAATACGTGGAAGTGTTCACCATTATTTAGGAAACGTTTCTTGAACAGGGATTCAGCGAGGAAAACAACAAATATGGCACCGGAAGGAGAATTGTGAAGCGGGATAGAGTAAATAAGAAGATTGTCAGGTTCTATGCAATGTCGTTTCCATATGTGTGTAACATCATGTTATTAGCATTATAAAAAAATAATACATAGAACCTAATAAAACCTGACCTAACATAGCCAACCTATGGGTATGTTAGGTCAGGTTCTATACATTGTCGTTTCCATTTTTGTTTAGTATCATGATATTAGTGTGTAGAAATATTTTCAACTAATATGGACAATTCCTTCTGGTGTTCACCTTTCCCTGAAAATAAATATTTTGAGCAAAAACCGCTAATCTGCACAAGAAATGGTCAGATTTAGTAAAACACACGAAAAAAATCCTATTCTCATACCATAATGAGGACAACCAAAGGACGAATATTTACCAAAATACACCAGGAAAACAATTTCTCATATCAAAAGATGGGAATGGGCAAAAAATAAATAATTATCGCAGGAGGAATTTCACAAATTTCTACAACTTCGTCTGTAACAAAGCGGTCCGACTAATTACCCAAATGTAGCCAAATATAGCAACAATGAAGTCAAATAATGGTCCTGCATGAATAAATCGGACTGCTAATCACTTCTCGACTAGTATTTGGTGTCAGAAAGTCACAAAAAATTGGAAAACTTACGTTAATCTGCGTTAATAGATCACGTGCATGTACCCAAGGAGCGAGGAATTACCCAAATGTACCCAAATGTAGCCGCAATGAAGTCTAATGATGGTTGTACAAGCGTAATTCGGGCTGTGAATCACTTCTCGATTATTATTTGGTGTCAAAGTAAAAAAAAATTGGTACCCGGTAAACTTAATTTAATCTGAGTTGTGTTGTGTTAGGTTAGGTTAGATTAGGTTAGGTGCATGCACTTGATCTATTAACTCAGATTAAATTAAGTTTACCAATTTTTTGTGACTTCATGACACCAAATACTTGTCGAGGTGAGGTTAGGCTTGGCTAGGTTAGGTTAGGTTAGGTACATGCACTCGATCTATTAATTCAGATTAAATTAAGTTAACCAATTTTTTGTGACTTTGTGACACCAAATACCAGTCGAGAAGTGAATGGCAGTCTGATTTATTCATCTAGGACCATCATTTGACTTCATTCCGGCTATATTTGGGGACATTTAGGTAATTAGTCGGACCCGTAACAGTGTTCTGTCTATTTGATTTGTGTTCTTGGCCTTTGGTGCCATACAATACAGTACCTGATAATGATGAGTCACTCTTTAGTTTGTACATTTCTTAAATTTGCTACATTGGCTGTCCCAAAGGTGTGTGAACTAGTTACTGAATTCTGCATTACGTCAGACTTCAGCCTAAACTAATAACTGAGCACTGCCAACTCACAGTGGTTCATTCCTGGTAAAATTAAACTAAACGAAATTCATTTTATTAAGTGGCACTGGAGACACAAACTACTTGTAGACAAAATTCAGAAACAATTTTATAAATATAACTCAATACGTGGTGCGGAAGAACCAAGCACAGGACTGTGTTGTATAAAGTTGGTTACCCAAAAGTTAAAAGTAAAAATGCATTGTTTTCTTTAGAGCGAGATCCCTCAACTCAGGTCTTACCTTAAAATGAAGTAACCACGTCCGGGAATTATATTCAAAACAACAAAAAACTATACTTGTGCACCACGTTATTTATAATTCACTTTAAATTGGCGAGATGGCAATTCACCTTCAGTGTTACCAAGAAAGCTTAAATTTACCTGCCATGAAGTCTACTAGTATTTTCACAGCTGTTTCAATGTCACCAGTGTTATTTGAAATAATGTTGTACAGCTTACAGACCCTCAAATTTATGATAAGATCACAAATATTGCCACGACTTATGAATACAAACTTCATGAAATCGTATTTTATCAACCTCAGCGTCTTCCGTGAGCCCCTAACTTCCCCGTGTGAACGATGTGTGGCAGACGGTCCGACTAATTACCCAAATGTAGCAAAATGTAGCCGCAATGAAGTCAAATTTTTTTTTACGGGAATTAGCCAACCCGGGCACAGGTCAAACGACCCACAACGGAGCCTGGGGGGCGAAAAAAACCGGAAAGAAATTGTAAATATGGAAAAAAAGGTTATACTGTATTAATCTACACCACGAAGATGCCGGAAACCAGCTTTTTAAAGTGAGACAGATTGTAAGAGCAAGGAAACACAGAAGGCAGAGCATTCCACAGTTTGGCTGTGTGAGGAAAGAAGGAGGTACTATAACGGGTTATTATAGTGTGACCGACATCCACAGAGAAATGGTGGGCACCGCGCGCAAGACGTGTGTTACGAGCCCACGGCCTTACCGGCGGTACACAGGATGCCAAATCCCCTGAACATTGCCCGTTAAAGTACCTGTAAAAGAGAGAGAGTGAAGCAACATTGCGGCGAAGAGAAAGGGGAGAGAGATTGTCGACTAAAGGAGGAGAGTTAATAAGACGAAGTGCCTTTGATTCCACCCTATCTAATAGTTGGACAGAAGAAGAGCCACCCCAGATATGAGAGCAGTACTCCAAGTTACGACGAATGAATCCCTTATATACTTGGAGCAACTGCTCAGGAGTGAAGTAGCTGCGGCATCTGTACAGCATTCCCAACTTTCGGGAGGCAGCTTTAATTATACTAAGGATGTGTGATTTCCAGGACATATTGGAGGAAATGGTGAGGCCTAACATATTTATTTCAGAATTTGGGGGGATGATAGCGTCCTGGAATGTAATTGGTGGGAGATCGTCTACTTTACAAAGTGTAATTGGTAAATATTGAGTTTTGTTACTATTGAACTTAACCAAGTTTGTATCTCCCCATTCAGAGATGCTGCACAGATCCGCGTTGATAGAAGTAATGATATCAGTTCTAGAAACAGATCTAGTTTGAGAGTTAGGAGGAAGGGCACTAGCGTAGCTAGGGGGGCTCACTTTTGGGTCTGCTCATCACCCATATCTGCAGCTACTGGAGACGTTAATCCATCCCTTTGTATCGGCGGCAAGTTAATCCTTGTCGTGTCTGACCTAACACCTGACCCACATCATCACGGCCACGTCATGAGCTACACCCTTGCTATGAGGCCCCCCGCCACACACACAACCTGTAACCTGTTGAGGATTAAGGAAACAACTTCAAACAAGTAAGCCAGTGAGCTCATGTGGTGTGGGTCAGGTGTTAGGTCAGACACGACGAGGATTAACTTGCCGCCTATACAAAGGGAAGGATTAACGTCTCCAGTAGCTGCAAAACCATGCAGTCTCGGGTCAACATAAGAACATAAGAATGGAGGAAACTGCAGCGGGCCTATTGGCCCATACTGGGCAGTCCCGTTTACACCCAACCCCTATTGCTCATATGAGCATCCAACCTATGTTTGAAGCAATTCAGCGTATTCGAGTTAATGATGATATTTGGTAACTTGTTCCATTCATCCACTGCTCTGTTTCCAAACCAGTGTTTACCTATTTCACGCCTAAATCTAAATTTGTCTAATTTAAAACCATTGTTACGAGTTCGCTCCTGGTTGGATAGTTTGAGTACCTTTGTAATGTCCCCTTTGTTTAGCCCTGCCTTCCACTTATACACCTCTATCAGGTCGCCCCTCGCTCTACGTCTCTCAAGGGAGTGCAAATTAAGATGCTTTAACCTGTCTCTATACTCAAGGTTCCTAATGCCCGGGATTAGTCTTGTCATTCTCCTCTGAATTCTTTCCAAGGATTCTATATCCATTCTGTAATACGGTGACCAGAACTGAACTGCGTAATCCAGGTGTGCTCTCACAAGAGCAAGATACAGTTTTAGGATGACCTCGCTAGTCTTGTAACTAACACTCCTTTGTATGAACCCAAGTACTTTATTAGCCTTGTTATTGTTTACTTGGCTTAAGGTTCCTACTTATCATTACTCCTAAATCTCTCTCGCAGTCGGATTTCTCTATGGCATCGTTGTTCATCTGGTATCTGGTTTCCCTGTTTGCATCTCCTATACTGAGCACTTTACATTTGTCGACGTTGAATTTCATCTGCCATTTTTCAGACCATTCGAAAAATTTGTTTAGATCTTCCTGTAGTTTTGCCGAGTCCTCGTCAGATTTGATAACACGTCCTATTTTAGTGTCATCAGCAAATTTACTTATGTTGCTGTCAATGCCGATATCTATGTCGTTTATGTATATAATAAATAATAATGGTCCAAGTACTGAGCCTTGGGGAACTCCACTTGTGACGTTGCTCCAATGGGACTTAGTGCCCTAATCCATTTAAGGATGTCACCTTTGATGCCATGAGCTTCTACCTTTCTAATTAGTCTTTCGTGGGGGACTCTGTCGAAGGCTTTGCTAAAGTCGAGATATACCACATCATAATTGTGCCCCTCGTCCACCGATTCGAAAACTGATGAAAAGAATGTTAATAGATTAGTTAGGCAAGAACGTCCGCTTGTGAAGCCATGCTGGGAATCATTGATCAATCGGTGCTTCTCCAGGTGATTTCGAATAGAGTTTGAAATGATTGCTTCCAGTAATTTGCCTACTATTGATGTTAGACTGATTGGGCGGTAGTTAGAGGATAGTGATCTATCCCCCTTCTTGAAAATCGGTATTACATTCGCTATTCTCCAGGATTCTGGTACTACACCGGTTTTTAATGACATGTTAAACAACTTTGCTAAGGGCATACTAAGCTCTTCCTTACATTCCTTTAATACTCTGGCAAATATCTCATCGGGACCAGGTGACTTATTAGGCTTTAGTTTGTCTATTTGCTTACTCACATCGTTACTAGTCACTACTATCTCACTTAATTTATTTTCTTCACTATCTCTGAATAGAGTCGGGTCATATCAGTTCATGTACAGCCGACCAATCCACCAGTTACAAGCAATTCACTTCAGTTCTGCACAAGTCTCCATCGTGACAAGACGAGGGGAGGCTAGACGACTTTTATGTTATCTTGTGTTTTCGATCCAGTTATTTACTTTGTTGGAAGACATAATACTATAAGGTAAGAAATATTAAAGTATTGGTTAAAAAATATTGATGTGACTTTTGCTGCGGTACTGAGATTAAATATTAAGATTTTGTTTCACAGCATTGCGATTTTATACTAAGACACTATCCTCACTGGGGTACAGACAAAAGCCCCCCAGACGAAAGCCCCCCCGACAAAAGCCACCCAGACAAAAGCCCCCCAGACGAAAGCCCCCCCGACAAAAGCCACCCAGACAAAAGCCCCCCAGACGAAAGCCACCCAGACAAAAGCCCCCTACTTTGATCGGGGTCACCCCGACGGGGTGGCTTTTGTCTGACAACAGTAAGGGCTTTCAAAAGTTACGGACATAATTAAATAGTTGAGGGTAAAATATACTGTTCTTCTTTGTGGTTAATTATTGGTTAGGTTAGGGCAATGATCTGGGGATAGTCATGGAGCGTCAGCGTCGACCCAAAAAGAAGAAACACATGTTAGGTGAAGGATCACGAGATGCTGAATTGCCATACGACATTGAATTGAGGAGAGAAATGTTTTCTTCGCTGGACAGAGTGATCCAAGAAGTAACTTTGAGATTTCAACAGCTTCATGAACTTGCTGAGAAATATGCCTTCCTTACCCCGTTGAATCTTTTGGATGATAAATATGAGTGTCAAATAGATCACGATCACGACGACATTGATAAAGAGGAGTTCCTCGTTGAGAGAAAAAGACTTCAGCATTTTGTTGCTGTTGCTGCTATAACTATTAAAGACAGAATACAGACGTGGAAAGAAGGCCCCCTTGAACTTTTGCAGTTTATTCAAAAGTATAACCTTGGGAACTCGGTTCCAAATATAGTAATAATGCTGAGGATTTTCCTCACAATTGCTGTTAGTGTTGCTACCTGTGAGAGGAGTTTTTCGAAACTAAAACTGATCAAGAATTACTTAAGATCTACTATGAGCACCTTGCGGTTGAGAAATCTTGCCATACTGTCTATAGAGCGACAATTGACAGATGAGATAGTTTTTGACAATGTCATTGAAGAATTTGCCAACAAAAAACAAGAAAAGTTACTTTGTAGAAAGTTGTAGTTTTCATTTCAGAAATAAAGATGATCCTAATTTTTTACACTTTTTTACTTTTTTCCCTATCCTATATGTCGTTTTTGCTTTTTGTTTAACTGTTACTTATAAAGTTTAAGTATGTTTGGGGTGTATTTAAAGCATACTATATTTGAGTATGTGAAAGTAAAGTTGTAGTTTTAATTTCAGAAATAAAGATGGTCCTAATTTTTTACACTTTTTTTACTTTTTTCCCTATCCTTTATGTCGTTTTTGCTTTTTGTTTAACTGTTACTTATAAAGAAGTATGTTTGGTGTGTATTTAAAGCATACTATATTTGAGTATGTGAAAGTACAGTAATATTATAATGGTACACAAACTATTTAATAAATAAATATATATATATATATATATATATATATATATATATATATATATATATATATATATATATAGAGAGAGTCACTGTGCAATATGTATTTTTGTGGGGGCACGGGGGGGGCAAACTCAAGGGCCGCCCCGGGCGGCACACACTCTAGCTACGCCACTGAGGAAGGGGAAAATGTGAGGAAGAGTGAAGAGTAGAATCATCGGCGTAAGAATGGATAGAATTAGTTGTAGTGTGAAGTAAATCATTGATAAAAAGAAGAAAGAGAGTTGATGAAAGAACAGAACCCTGTGGGACGCCACTATTGGAAGAGAAAGAGCGAGAAATCGATCCCTCGACAACAACTGCCATGGATCGATTCTCAAGGAAGCTAGAGATGAGAGAGCAAAGTGGGGGAGAGAAACCAAAAGAGGGAAGTTTAGATAGCAAAGACTTGTGCCATACCCTGTCAAATGCTTTGGAGATGTCGAGGGCCACGACAAAAGTTTCCCCATAATCCCTAAGAGAGGATGACCAAAGATGGGTGCAATAGGAGAGCAGATCACCAGTAGATCTTGCCTGGTGAAAGCCATACTGGTGATCCGACAAAAGAGAAAGGACTGCTAATCACTTCTCGATAATTATTTGGTGTCATAGTTACAAAAAATTGGTAAACTTAATTTAATCCGAGTTGTGTTAGGTTAGGTTAGGTACATGCACTTGATCTATTAACTCATATTAAATTAAGTTTATCAATTTTTTGTGACTTCGTGACACCAAATACTAGTCGAGAAGTGATTGGTAACCCGATTTATTCATGTAGGACCATTATTTGACTTCATTGCGGCTACATTTGGGTACATTTGGGTAATTAGTCGGACCCACTGTAACATGCTATCTTAACTCACCCATAACTCGAAAACAAGGCATTTTCCCATGAATATTATAAAAGTGAGAGTAATCAGCATAAAATACTGTCTAAAAACACTCCATAATTACTGAACCGCTGAAGGACACTAGTCGTATATTAGCCCACTACGAATTAATAAACTCATTAATACTATATACTCGCCTATGCCTTAACTCTGGTCCATACTTGAGGGTGATCAGGGTGCCCACCAGGACCCCCAACCCACCGGACACCAGCTCACGCCTGGTCCTCGTGAAGTCACCGATGATCGACGTTGCTCTATTTAAATTCTCAATTATCAATTTACCTCGTGGGAAAAAATTCATCTTGGACGTATTTCAATTAAATCTGTTGACCGTAAATAAAAATTTAATCTCGTAGATGCCAGCTACTGTAAAACACAACTACCACCTCTCACTGACCAGCCCAAGTGTTAGGTGATAACTACAGGTTACAAAAAAAAATATCTTTTGATTGGTTATCTGATGTTTTAGATAAGAATCATTTCAACACTTTACTGTAATTCAGTGTAATTAAGAAATTATATTTGGAAGCGTTCTATAATAAAATTATCGTTAATATTTTATATTGAAGCATAAACCATCAAACTGAAAATAAGAATGAAGTAAAGGCTTCAAACAGACTCTCGGTTGCCAGGTAACGGCTGTACACAACTCTGGCCTGGGAGGAGGACAGCTGCTGCGGTCAGGTGAGAATTTGCGCCCGTACAAATTGTCCTATGAGGCTATGGCCTTATCATGCACTTCAAAATTCATCACTGCAAACTTATATGGATAAAGATAACAATAATTACAAGGCAAATAAAAATGCTGATACATATGAAATACACAAATATCCCTACGTAATACAGTACACTGGAGGCAAATAAACAACGTTATCATCCTGCTTCTTTGTGAAATACCCATCATCTGGGATGTCGTCGCATGTATTCTTGTCTGTTGTTCCACATATTGTTGGTCATGAGGTCCAGATTCCATCTTCTGTTCCTCCTAAAAATACAATATTTTACGCCGTTTATCTCCCAGCTCTTCTCCCACAAAAAATAGTACTTGTCTCTCTTTGTTTGTACTTCTCCAAGGATAAGGTGTTGTGTCATTTATTCCTTTTTATTTTCCTCCAGTAGTAAATAATTCAAAATCATTCCCCGTCTCTTCACAAAGACACAAAGACTCGTACTTGTAGTGTACAGTATGTGGCCAGTTGTCAATTCTCTTTAGTTGTCTATTGTCTCTTTGTATGGGCACACAAACGTACGGACATGTTGATATCTCACACTCAGGAATGAGGTAGAATAGAAACTCACAATGTGTTTTCTGTATATATATTGTTGTACAGTGCAGTGCTAAGGAGTTACTAGGTGAGGAGTAGCTTGCTCAGAGGTCCTGTAGGGCGAGGAGGTTTCTGAGGGAGCTGGGTGGTGAGGCGCTGGAGAGAGATCTTGCTGGTCCAGTAGGTCAGAGTAGAAATGGTCTCCCGATCCGATGGGATGGAGAGAAGAAAGCCTATTGGCTCAGGAAGATGGAAGACGGTGTAGGAGGAAGGTAAAGGTTGGGAAGTGGGAAATAAAGAGGGAGATTAATAGCAGGTGGGCTGTCCACCTTGCAGGGACGAGGTTAAATCTGCCATGCCAGCAGTTCATGTCCAAGGGAAGGGAAGCCAAGCTAATCTACGCTAAGGTAGATTGTGGTGTTTGGGGAGGGGGGCCCTCCATGTCCTTTAAGTATTCTTCGTTTTTATTTCGTGTATATTGGTTCTGTGGTGTCAAATGTTATGCTCTTTGGCCACCAATTGTGTGTTCTGGTATTGTCTTCTTGCATTAGTTGTTGGAATATGGGGTCTTCGAGTTATTGTAGTTTTTCCCATATTGCTAATGCTTGATTGTGTTCTGATGTTGATTGTGGTTAGGTTATGTTCTGTGAGTAGCTCTCTGGAATTTTTTGTATATGGTGGTCTGAGTTTTGCTGCTCTTCTGAGGGCTATGTTTTGGATTGCTTGTATTTTGAGTTTATTTGATTTTGATATAGTGTTAAGTGGAATTGGGGGATATTCCAGGTGTGGTCTGACTAGTGCTTTGAAAAGGTATAGTTGTATGTTGGTGTTTAATTTGCGGAATCTTCTGAGTTTAGTTAGTTGGACCTTGGCTTTTGCAATTCTTTCTGTGATGTGTGGTAGTATGCCGTTCCTTGTGATTTTGAGGCCGAAGATTTTCCCATTTTCTGCGTATGGGATGTTTTGATTATTGACCATGATTGGGTAAGGTCTGGTTTTAGCTATATGAATTATCTTCAGTTTTTGTATGTTAGTTTTAATTTTCCATTTCCTTTTGTAATTGTTTATGGTTTCTATTTCTCGGCTAGTTCTGATTGCCATCATTTGTTTGCATTTCCCTGGGAATTGTATAATTTGGGTTACGTTGTCTGCATATGCAATGTACTCTGAGTTTCTTGGTTTGGGCATGTCCGCTGTATATATGGTGTATAGTGTTGGTGATATGTTGCTGCCTTGGGGTACTCCACTGTAGAGGGTGAAGTTTTGACCTATGTAGTTGTCGATGGTGAGTTTGCATTATCTGTTGTCAAGGAAATTGCAGAGGAGAGCCGTGATGTTGGGTGGCATGTTGAGTTGAATGATTTTGTATTTGAGCCCTTCATGCCATACTTTGTCGAAGGCTTTGCTGACATCTCTGAGTACTATGTTACATTGGTTTCTGTTGCTGGCTGCATTTGCGATGGATTCATATATTAAGGCTATTGCAGTGTTGGTGCCTCGGTTTTTCCTGAAGCCGTGTTGTCTGTGGTTGTATTTATCTTCATACTCTAGGTAGTTTCTTAGTCTCTGGTTTATTATTTTTTCAAGGATTTTGCCAGGTGTTTCGAGGAGTGAAATGGGTCTGTAGTTTTCTGCCTGTGTTGGGTTCTTTCCTTGCTTTGGAATGAGTCTTATTTTTGCCTTTTTAAATTTGGATGAGAATAATCCACTTGCTATTGATGCATTGAAGATGTCTGCAAGCTGTTTGATTATTGGTGGTGGTATGTTTTGCAACACAGTTTTGTTTATTTGACTTATTCCTGGCGATTTATTCTTGAAGCTGGCAATAATTTTTGTGATGTCATGTGTAGTTCTTGGAGCAATTAGGGGGTCGTTATTATCTAACGTATTGAGGTTGATTGTCCTGGATTGTTGCCATTTGTCTGTGTTTTGGTTCAAGTGTGTTTCAACCACGTGTTCTGTTTCTCTGCAGAAGTTTCGGTTGTCCTCATCCGTGATTTGGTAGATGCTGCTCCAGAATGTTCTGAATATTGGTTCCTTGAGTTTAGGTTCTGTAATCTTCTTGCCATTGTTGTCTATAAGGGGACGGATACTCAAAAACATTTATGGGACTGCATGTCTTTGCGTACCCCGTAACTGGACTTACAGTCTCAGATCAGTATACTCAAAACACTGATGGTATACTCAAAACAAATATTTGACATTGAACTCCGGCTAACAAGCCGATCAGTGGCGAAGAGGATAAAAGTAAGTTAAAGCCCATAACTTACACCAGCCCCTGAGGCTCTGTAACACTCTCAACCCGGATGTAGTAGTCACTAATTCGCGATTGTATAAAAAATAATAATAATATATGTTGTAATCATGCTTGTTAGACTTTTTTATCATAGAATAATTAAGAAAATGTTTTGTACATCAACATACTGAAATACAGTATTTCAGTTTGTCTTTTTCGTAAAATTTTTGTTGCAATATTACGAGGCTTTGAGTGTTTGTATTTGGCGCAGTTTGGAAGAGACGCATCTTTTGTCTTCTTACAAATTATAAAGTATTTTTTACCAGAACAGAAGGTTTATATTGTTCACACTTAAGGTAAAAATATGTTTTATAACTGAGTAAACTTATGGATAGACCTTATTAATGTTGTATAGCCGTAAATATCCCTCAGTAATGAAAGCCAAATGTGAGGTCAAGTGAACATTCCTGCCTAGACTTCGCCTTGTTTTTCTAATATGCAACCAATAGCCTAGCCCTATTTTCTTATGTATATGGCTTATGATAACATGAAAGGCTCTAAAGGTTCGCCAAAATTAAATGATATGCGTAAAATATGGATTGCAATTAACTTGATTAATAGGGGCATATAAATCTCCTTTTTCATTCTTAGGCCAATAAATGTTTAAACGTGGGGCCTACTCAATTTAGTTATAACATGAGGAATATTTAAATAAGAAATTATACCAATAGGTTATAGGCTAGGTTAGGTTTGGTTATGTTATTTTATGTTATGTTATGGTATTTTAGGTTAGGTTAGAGAATGTGAGTGTCAGGCTGTCAGTGAGACACTTTGTCTAGCAGCTACCTTAGGTCTAGTTCCAGACTTTTCATGAACAGTATCATTGGGTAGAGTATTAATTGAAAATTTACAGAAAATCAGATATATTTTCAGGTTTTAAATTGTTGTTTTTTGTATGAACTTGAAGACAATTCAGACCAAATGACCCAAACATTGTAAGAAAAACACCATGTTCTAGGCTAAATTTCCCTAAAATTATTTTCTTTCTTTTGGCGACTTCACACACCATGGCGCATACTTCAGTCTCACTAAAATTTGGTCGTTTCTTCAGGTGGTTGTCCTTCCATCTTTTGTTTACAAACTAATATCACGTGCGTCGCTCTCAGCTGATTTCTCCTTCTCTTGTGATTGGTTGATGATTTTGTTGACTGAGCGCTGATTGGCCAACTAGCTCCTGCACTGCCATCTACCTTCCGACAAGAGAACTGAATTTACAGGGTAAACACTTGAGTTATGATAACTTATGGACTGCTTATGGAACTGGAATTAAATTTTGAGTATGCTAAATTTACGGGACTGTGAGGAGTCTGCAATATATGGTACTGTATCTCGCTAATATACGTAACTTATGAGGTGTTTTGAGTATCCGGCCCCAGGTAGCTGCTCTCCTCTGAGTTGGTTCCTATGAGATTTTTTATTTTAGTCCAAAAGGCTTTTGGGTTTCTGTAGTCTGCCTGTGTGTTGGCTATTAGCTGGTTCCATTTCTCGTCGTGTTTTACTTTGCATCTCTCTAGTAGTTCTTCTTTAAGATTTCTATATAATACAGTGATGTGTGGGCTTCAGCCGTATGTTTTTATAAATTCATGTAGGTTGGTGAACCTGGTTTGGATGATTTTTTCTTCGTGTGTTAGTTGTGCATATGGTAGTGTGCGATATGTTGTTTTTGGGATGTTGTTTTTCATGGCAATTGTGATTTTCGAATACCAGGTTGTTAAGGCAATGTTGATCTCGTTGGTGTTTTTATTGTGGAGAGTTATTGTTTCGTCGGTGTTGAGAGCTGTTTTGAAACTTTCCCAGTTAGCTCTATTAAATGAATATCTTAGTATCGAGGGAATTTGTATTGGAGATGTGGAAATAGTTGCTATTATGGGTATGTGGTCATTGGTGCTGGTGGGTCCAGGTTTTATGTGTGTGTGAAAATGATGGTGTCTGTTTGTCAGAATTATGGCGGGATTCCCGGAGTTTCCCGGTGTTATGAATGTTTGAAAGACTGGGCCTAGGTGTGTAATGCTGCCTTGCTCAATTAAGATGTGCAGTACTACTCCAGCGGGGTTTCTGTTGTGATGTCCAAGGGTTTGGTGTCGAGAGTTCAGGTCGCCAAGGAAGTATGCCGGACTGTTTTGCCTGGTTAGTTTTAGGAGGTCGCCTGTCGGGAATATTGGTCTTCTGAATGATAGGTATGATGTTCCTATTATTGTTGGTCCTTTGGTGGTGTTTACTTCTACTGCCAAGAAGTTACCTTGGAAGTTGTCAATTATTTTGTGTTGAATCGTTCGTTTTATTGCTATTGCTATCCCGTCATGTAACTCTTCGTGGATATTTTTTTGGTAGACGATATAATTAAATATTTTTATTTTTTCATTGTCTTTTCGCCCGTGTGGTGTCTGGGTCTATTGTGCTGTACATATACGTTAATGAGTTCTGTTTTCCTCGCCAGAGTCCAGGCAAGGACGTTGTGTTGAATTTTCTTTAATGATTTGTTTTGTATAGTCGTGGCTCCCGAGAACTTGGTGTAGGGTGTTTGCTGGCTCGTGTATCTCCTGGCGAGTGTCTATTCCTTTCCTCCTTTTATCCTGTTTTGATTTTCTTAAACTTAGTTATATCTACTCTTTCAATTTTGTTATATTTGGTGTTTATTAGTCCTGCATTTATCAACTGGTCTATGTAGGATTCTTCTACCCTGACATCTTCGAAGGTGAATTTGACTGTACCTTCCTTGATTTCCTGCAGAAGTCTATCATTTGTTATTGTAGGTGGTGTGTTGATTGAGTAGAAGCAGATACCGATCTCATTTCCTAAGTCTGCTGGCTGCACATTGGTTGGTGAAGATGGGGGGGGGTGGCACGATGGCCGGAATGGGGTTCTTTTCTTGTTTTCGCTTTGGTTGGGTCAGCTTTTGCAGGTTGTGGTTTCTCTGTTTGCTGAGTTGTGGAATCTGATGATTTGTGGTGTGGTGTGACTGGTTGGCTGATTGGGTCTATTTCCATCACATTTTCTTCTATGACTTGTTTGGTTGTGTGCTCCTGTGGTTTGGTTATTCCTAGGCTATTCTCGGTGACAATTTTAAATACAGGCGTATTTCTGTTGAAGGGGCGTCGTCTGGGAATTTCACCTCCGGCAGATTATTTGCAGCAACCATTTCCCTAATCGTTTTTCCAAAGGATCCTGGTTTTGCGATGTTGTTGATGTGTGCATGAATAATACTAGTTAGAATTGTGAATGGTAATCCTTCGCTCAGATTAAGGTATATAGGTTGCATGAGGGGGTTTTCTTTGGTTTTCTTCAGGACTTTGGAGGTGGTATCTTGCAGCTTTGCAATTGCTGCATATGTCTAGTGAGGGTCTGTTTCTATCTTCTTATTTGCCTTTTCTTTTTCTCTCAAATTCCTAATTATTTCTTTCCTTATGGGGCAGCGTGCTGCTAGTGTTTGGTGGTCCCCATTGCAGTTGAGGCATTTGGGGTTATCTTTGTTGCTACATTCTCTGAATGTGTGGCCCTCTGCTGCACATTCGGAGCAAAACTTCTTATCTTTTTGGGGACAGTTTATTGCTAGATGATTGTATTTGTTGCAGTTCCAACATGGTGTTATTGCGTAAAATTCCTCCTGCTTAATTGTTGTTTTGATAGGTGGTAGTGGGAGATACAGAGGCCATTTTCTAGGGCATTTTGTGGCATGGAGATCTCTCCAAACCTGACCTTCATCATGGTAGGAGCACCAGGCATTAGCACCACCTCCTCAACTCTGGCCCATGGGTTCTTCTCTTCTATATTGTTAGCAATGTAGCTTGGTGTTTCTTTCAGTATATTTCTATCTACCCTTTTAATAACTACGGATTTTTTTGCATGTGGTTGTGGTGGTATTACTGTTTCTAAATCCCGTTCTTTTAACTTCTTTGTTGAGTCGGCAGAGAGCATATTGTCTACATCCTTTTCTTCCAGGCAAAGGACTATGAAGGAGTCCTTTGTTTCGATCAAGGCGGCGAATTTGATGTTTAGCTGGGCACATAATAGTATGCCCAGTTCCTCCTTGCGTTTTTCGGATACGCCCCCCTGGAGGGAGCGTACCCGTATCCTGTTTCCAGTTGTCCAAGTCATTTGCTTTGGTCGTTCTCCATGGCAACATTCTTGTTGTGATTTGACGAAAGTTACAGGCACCCTACCTATTCCAGGCGAGCAACCTAACACAGGAATTACAGCACTCCCCACCGCCACTTGCTGGTCAAGTGATCGTGGAGTGGTTCCTGTGTCACTCACCCAGAAGCCACGTTAGGGGAACCTTTTTCCCTGGCCAGCCACGGTCGTATTTATACAATTTATAAACATCAGGATTTGGGGTGCGCGTAGAGTGAGAGCCAATCACAGAGGAGGCCAGGAATCCCTGGCACTTTGGTCCTAGCGTTGCTACGTGTACGCTGATTGGCTGGTAGGCGTGCGGGAGCTCAGTCGTCACTTGTAGGGGATGGTGTCCACTACATAATTTTACTTTGATGTCTCCTGTCTGTTCCTCACAACTTTTACTTTCAAAGATCCAGGTATGTACTGCTCTCCCCACACCCAATGTCTGTTACTTTTGACAGATAAGATATTGTTTTAAGTATCGTTTGTTGCCGGCAGACACCCAAACACACAAGATGCTGCGCCACGAGCTGGGCACCAACATCACAGCCATTGTCAACAGGCTGGCGTCAGAGCTCCAAAACACACCCTTCTACCCAGACTTCCTCGCTGATGTTCAGGTAAGAGACGTTTATCTGCATCTTATGTGCTACAGGCAAAGACTATAATAAGAAAGACAAAAAAGCATGTATCTCTACTGATTAAAAAAAAACGTGAGCAACTGCGCTGCGATCAACGCCATCTGTTGGCAACGCGGCTAACTAAAAGCCTGGGTAACGTAAGGGTAGCATATCCATGTTTCCATGGTAACCAACGGAGTGAACTTGTCTTTCATGTTTTCCCGTTGCTATATATCATTGATCATATGGAATTTACTGTGTGAAATTGTATGTGTGTGTGTGTCGGTATGCGTGTGTGTGCATGTGTACACATTAAGAATGCCAGGTAATATTATTACCTTGACGTCTTTGCATTGATGTTCTTAACGTGTACACATCCACACACGCACACAATCATATATACATACTGACACACACATACAATATCACATGGTATATTCTATATGATCAACAATATATAGCAACGTGAAAACATGAAACACAAGCTCAGGGTGATCTGTTTTTGTACGTTTGCATACGGCACAAGGGTGATGGTGACGCCCACTCATGGTTAAATGTCCCGATCTTCGTGTAAACCATGGGTCCGTAACCTTTTTATACTAGTCGGCCACTTCAGCTGGCAAATAATCAGCGATCGGCCGCAGCTGTACTCAAAAAACAAAAGTCAACAATGCATTCCACAGGATTTAATGAGTAAGCAGAAATGCAGAACTATATTTAACTTAAGAATTCTTAAAGACATTCACATTTGAAATAAAAAAAAAAGACACAGAGAAAAAGTACTTTACGATATATTGTAGTGCATAAACAAAAAAAAAGCCTTGTGATATTTTTAACATAAAAATGCCTTTCAGCTGTTACTATTAGGTAGCATAAAGCTGGCTTTTTGAAATGCAAAATAAGGACTCGCATGCCAAGTACAGATACCTGTGCACAGAACAATACTAAAATGCATGTGAGGATTGAGCCTGGATATGATTTGCAATTTCAGCAAAATTTGGTTTAAATTTGGTAACAGCAGCCTTCACAAGTTCTGATTGGCTCGTTAGCCGCTTGGGCGATCGGTCATGTCTCTGTTACTTTTCTTTTTCTTTTATCCTCTTCACCAATTGATCAGCTCGTTAGCCGCTTGGGTGATCGGTTACGTCTCTGTTACGCACTGTTGGCAAGTACTGGGCATGCACCGGCTCCTGAATGTACCTGAACCTAGAGTGTTAAGATAGTTCAGCAAGGAGCTTGTCGAGCCCCTGAAGATCCTGTTTTGTAAATGCCTGGATGAACAAAAGGTACCCAGTGAAATGGAAAGTGGCTTATGTGAGTACTATCTTCAAGAAGGGCGATCGTCACTCCACGAACAACTATAGACCGGTGAGCCTGGCCAGCATAATATGTAAAGTACTCGAGAGTATTATCAGAGATGCCGCAATGGAACATCTACTACGAAACAACCTTGTAAAGGGTTGCCAACACAGTTTTATGCCGTGCGCTCCTGCTTAACACAATTGCTCAAGGTACTGGATATTTGGACCCATATTCTGGAACGGGTGTAATGAGCGGAGCTGTCACCATTTGTAATGGGCCGAGTTCTTTCACTTTATATTTTATCATCCAGATATTCTTTTCTGTTATTATTCTTTGATTCTTTATCTATCTATACCTTATGTTCTTGCTTATATTCTTATATAAGTAATTCTGATATTTCTCTGCTTATCGTTTCTAAGTCTTTTATTTTCTTTCCATATGTAATATTATATTTTCTAAATTTCAATGTCCATACCTTTCTGAAGTATACTCTGTTTTTACTTATATTCTCATACATGGATTAGTCTGGGGAACCATGTTATTCTTAGTACAACACTTATTATACTTACAAGGGTAGCCTGCCACCACCCAGACTTTTATTAGAATATACCATAACTCATGGAAAGCTTTTGGGTAGTGTGGTAGAGTGTTTATAGGCACTTGAGTCAGTATTATTTTCAGGGAACCAATGTTTAGAAGGAATAGCGTGGTGATACTCGTAAATTACTAATTCAATATTTATTAACACAGCGAGTGAATAAGGTGTTACTTGAATTCACTCAGACAAGACTGGACCCTCAGGTCTTACTGTACCATTGACCAAACAGATCCGCAATTACTTATTAATTCATGAAACACTTCAAGTACTTATTATATCATTAAACAACTCCAAGTACTTATGACTTCATTAGACAATTGTTGGATTATTCCTCTGTCACATAAGATTCAGGAGTTATTACACACGGTCAGATAACACTGGACCCTCAGGTCTTACTTTTATAAGTAACAAATTACATCTTCAATTCTTGGTTACAACATTTAACAATAATTATATTATTCCATTGTTACTGCAAGTGGGTATTATGACACACACTTGACACTATCCCTAATTAAAATATTCTTTATAACAACATGTTATTTCAGAATGACTAACGTGACACTTTAACTAGTATTCAGTGGTTTGGTGGACTCAACCCCGAGAATAACAATAACCCGGGTACCACCAACATTCATGGATTCAATACTTAACCTGGGATGACTATATTTCTACTAGTCATCCCCAACCAGAGATATTAATACGGCTCCATACATATAGCCAAGCTCAATGGATGGGCAACAATCACAAGACGGGAGTCAACGGTGCAAAGTTGTTTACAGGCTCGCTCGCTCGCTCGCTAGGAGCGCGCGATGGGTTGACTCGTGGCAGTGACTCAGCTGTGGCACCTGTCGAGGAAATTTCGCTCTGGGATTCTAATCTCGCCACCTTAAAGACATCCTTCGAGAGCCATCTTTTTCATAGGCAGCTCCCGAACCTCAGTAGTGTTGCCAACACACAAACAGCCTCTGGAGATGCGTCGAGGAGAAATCACAAGAGTGTGAATGTTTAACTTCAACTATACAAAACATACTTCTGGCAATGGTACAGACGATATCTATGTTACTCGACTTATTTGGCACAGAATATCTCACTATTTTAAAACATGAACACTGATATTCACAAAAATCGACTAAGTTAAACTGAATTAACATGATGGCGAGAAACAATCATTCACAAACCTGGAGATGCGTCGAGAAGAAATCACAAGAGAGTGATTTTTCTTTGTGCATTGGTATATATGCGAGCCTGAGGGCATATCCCTACCAGAAAGACTAATTTTACTAACAATAGACCTTCTATTCAAAGTGGTCGCTGGACACCAAGCTGTGACCGTCAGTGTCACAGGTCAGGTTAATTTTCTACGTCTATCTCTATGATCTAATCAGAGATTGAGTTTGTCAGGAAAGAGATGAAATGGAGTTATATATGCACTAGCAACTCTACTGGCCTGACCGCAGACCACATTCCAGGTCAAAACAGCCGTTAAGTCTTGGAGATTTTACAGGTTGACAGAATAGTTCAGGAGATTAATGACTTTCTTAAATAGACAACTGACACTAACTAAACTATAAACATCAGATTCCCTGATGTTTGGGCGACAAAAGAATATAACTTCAGTAGCGATCAGAAATTCAGGATAACCCCACGAACGACATAAAATATGCCACTCTAGCTGGCAAATTCGACTCACTTACTAAGTTTTACTAACAATAAGGACAGTTGAAGCTTTCAACACCACTCACAATGGATCTTGAATGTTCCAACTGTAAACAGACATATCTAGGTTGCCTCACCAATTACAACCACAGTTGCAATTTCAAATTCTGTCATACTAAGGAATAATGAAGTCTCGGGCACATTTAAGATTGAGGGAAAACGGAGGACTCAGGCATCCTGAAGCGATGAGAAAACGGACTCCTCAGATGGGGAACTCCAATAAGAAAGCATAGCTACATGTTTTGTGGGCTATTGAGCTTAATATGAATCGTCTGATTTTACGTTAACTGACGTGTATGACCGTGGTCATTACAAAGCTTTCCACCTCCCAAAAGATTCATATTATGCGGTATAGTCAACAAAACATTCACAGTAAATACATAATTTTCAAAACACAATATCCTGTAATACTGGGGTAATGGTCAACAATACAGGCAACCTACATGTTACAAAATTTTCACATACATAAAATTTTGCACCTCAAATGAATAATCACCAAAAAACTCCCAGCCATGGGCAGATAAAACTAGCAAAGCAATACTGGTCATGACACACAGAAGAACATCATACATCAATATTACAGACCATAATAATAAAAAAAAAAAAACAGGCTAGCCTCATTTACATTTTTGTACAATTTTAATGACAGCGTCCACCAGGATTACGTGTAGTTTCCATCTAGGCAATTGATCAGATATGTATGACACTGGACCCAACCACAAAATTCAACAATTGAGATCTCAAGCTAGGAGTAGATAGACTGACCCCATCCAGCCACTGAAGTATTCTGGTTGACCTTATCACAAAAGAATCATTCTTCACTCAAGAGACGAGGCAAGATCTAAGCGGCCAGAGCTAACATGGACTCAAATAGACTATAATGCCGGCGACCCGGTCCACATGAAACCCTCCAAAACCTCCAGTGCCCTTCTGTTACTTCGTAATACAAGCGTCTTAAATTGCACTAGGCCCATGTACTCCTGTACATGCCTAGCAGTGACTAAAGTCCAGCACAACTACCTCCTACACAAACCCAGGCCTACTGCAGATAGTACCTCCAAGCGAACCTGATCACTCACACCAAACGATGTTCTCACTGCAGTAAGACACATCTACTCATTCCTCTTGTCCATGCCACATACTGACAATCCCTCCACAAAAAGTCTCACTCTGACCAAACTTGAATGGCAAAACCAAATAGTTGATGTTCATCATCAACACATCCAAACAAGATGTAAATGCCCTTGACGGCAACCGAGAGACCCGACCGCCCAACCGGGTCTGTCCCCAAAGATCCATACGGATCATTGGTCCCCTCCTTCTCCTTGGAAACCTAGCGGCAGGAACTTCCACTGGGTTCCTGTGACTGCCTACACACTCTCTTTCATCCTGTTCTGAATCAGATGAAGAATCATCAAGTGGTCACATTTACTTTTACTACTGCAGTGCTTTTCACATTCAGCTCATTCCTGGTAACAGTTTCGTATTTGTACTTACAAGGCCTAATGGGCCCTATGCCTAAGGTATTGACAAAACTTAGAGAAATTAAATGCACTTCACTGCCTGTATCAATTAAAACTGTACAATTACACCCTCCCACAGGCAAGTGTATGAAAGGGGAAACACTGGAAGGAATTTCTCAATACTCTGGCAAAACTGTCTGACAAGGTTGTAAAATCACTAACCCACACTATAACATCATCGGGGTAGTTCCATTCAACTCAGTTCTTCGTTGCAAAAAGGGGCTACTTCTTGGTTTACTTCTCTGGTAAAAATAAAAAGAAATGACGGGACGGGCTGAAAAGCCCAAAAGGTAAGCATGTAAACCTTCATAAGTTATATCCATCACTAAATGTGGTTAGGTCTCGACTTTTGTCGTTAAGTTTTACTTTAATAATGCGCGTCTTTCAAGTCTAAGGTAGAATACTATTCATTTCTTGCTACTCTCTCTACTAATTCATCTAAGTTGGGTAAGTCTAAGCATACTTATCAAAAGATCTATTCAAAACACTGACTTCCCCCCTCAAACCCAAAGTCTAGTAACCATGACAACAACTAGCTTCCTCAGCCACGCCGGCAGTTTTCCTTTTATCAGGATTTTCTCACTACCTCTCCAAGCCTTCAACGTTCTTTCCCGCTGAATACTTGCTTCCATGGCTTTGGTAAGTTCTGCTCGGAACTCACACACAAGTTGTAACTTATTCACAACTACTGTGATCATCATGCCTTGATGTCACCACAACTTCACACATAAAGAGAAACTCAGTTAATACCTTTCCACCGGCAAAGGGGGTAAACATTGACACATAAATGCCTCAGATACTTCTTAAATGGATATTCATACAACTAATCAGTAATAGTATCGGAGACTGTCGCCCAGAAAATTAAATATCTCTAAAGAGAACAATATACAGTTTCAACTCACAAGGTACTCAGAGTAATGCTCAAAATAAAATACTCGATGATACTTGACGAGAATGTCTCAAGAAAATATAACTCTGTAGATTTCACGAAGGATTAACACAAAGCGGATTTTCTGTGCTCAAGAATTCACTGTCCCTTTCACTACCTTGACACTTTTACTTTTACTTTTATCCTCTTCGCCACTGATCGGCTTGTTAGCCGCTTGGGCGATCGGTCACGCCTCTTTTCCTTTATATTCTTCACCAAAAGGTCGGCTCGCTAGCCGCCCGGGCGATCGGTCACGTCTCTGTCACGCACTGTTGGCAAATACTGGGCATGCACCGGCTCCTGAATGTACCTGAACCCGCTCCAGTGTTGGTCAAGTCTTCTCTTGAAAGAGCTCACACTCGGTGCTGTCACAACACTCTCTGGTAGATTGTTCCAAGAGTTTACAACCCTCACTCTGAAAAAGTTTGCCCTCACAATTCACAATTTACTCTGTGTTGTACTCACAATTGGTGGTCCTTACATGTACAGTTCTCAAATACATATAACCTCTTTACCAACAATGCATATCAGTCTTCACTGTAAGAAATTGTAATGCAGTAGGTAATAAAATTCTCAGTTAAAAGAAAAAGGTTGAAAAATACCACACTGAAAAATTTAACACCAAACTTGTGTTATATCAATAAATTCAATTGTCACAAATTTACTCCAACTGAGAACTAAAACTCTTTCTAGTCAGTTTACAATTCAGGTTACTAGCAAAAGAAAAAATAATAACATACACGCATAAAAAAAATTCATATACCGTAACACTCACTTGGGTTATATAAAAATTTCAAAAGTTAGAAAAATACTTCAAGTGAGAATCTGAACACTTTGTATTGAAATCACATCAATACTTCCAATAAATGCCACAGTTAAAAATAAAACATTGGATTACATAACCTTTGTACATATAACACTTCTGGTGACACTCAGAGATGAACACTGTTCATCACACTCTTAACATGGCAGATGTATACTGCCTACTCAATGTCTGTAAATATCCACTGGTCACAAAATAAAAAATTACTCTAATGTGCAATTATCACTTTTCTGAAATTTCACACAATAAAAACTAAAAAAGATCAGTTAGGTAGCTTACTTCAAAAAAATTTGGTGCAGTACCTAACTTTGTGACACAAAACAATATTATAACTCACAAAACAAATTTTGAAACTGAATCAATTGTTAGTTCTTACTTAACTCTTAAAACAAACTATCTTTGCAGTTACAACTACAGTATTGTACGAAAGGCTGAAAATCAAACTGAAAGGGTACGGAATTCGGGGAAATGCCCATGCGTGGATAGAAGACTTTCTACGTGACCGCAAGCAGTGTGTGGTGATTAATGGCACGAAATCATCATCCGTACCTGTCACAAGCGGGATACCACAGGGCAGTGTATTGGGCCTGCTGCTGTTTGTTTGTTTCATAAATGACATACCTGACGTACTCTCGTCCATACAAATGTTTGCCGATGACGCCAAGTTATTTCGGGAAATCAAGAACCAAACGGACTGTGAAGAGCTGCAGAAGGACCTCTGTGGGGTCCAAGAATGGTCGAAGAAATGGCTGCTGAGATTCAATGTCACGAAGTGTAAGAGGATGCACCCACGCTTGCGGTTAAAACTTCCAGCCGCATAGCCCGAATTTGTCGTTCAGCCAGCCGCATGTGTATAACAATTCCCGGCCACATGCGGCCAGAAAAAGAATGGTTGCGGACCCCTGACAGACGACGTATAAACGACCTGCGCCTTGTAACTAACGCCATCTGTTGATCCCGCGGCCAACTATAAGCTAAGTGGCTTACGTGGTTTTCGCCTTGCTTTCCTGTCTATCTTATTATAGTCTTTGCTACAGGGGCGCCTGTCACCCCTTCCCAAACCTGTTACATGCCAGTGTTTATCTTCTCTAGGGGAACCTATTATTTACCTTCCTGTATTGTTCACCGCAACAAATTTATTGTAAGCGAGTACCCCCACCAGCAGTTCACCTCCATAATTTTTCAATATGCCCAGACAATAAATTCTGTTACCCCTTAAATTACCCCCAAATAAAAGTAAGAGGTAAAGGGGAACAGAGTGAGCTGCAAACATTTATTTCTAAATGAACTTTAAATAAATAAGGGGATAAATTTAATATAATTTTTCAATAGCCTTTCTATGACAAAGTTTAAATTAACTACTAAAAACGAGTAATTTTGTGAAGGCAGTAGAAAAAGCGTAGCTCTCTCGCAAAGTCTTTCTTCGGGCTAAACAATGACAGAACATGTAGGAGACGGAAGGAATTCCCAAAAAGTCTCTACCCAGTTAGTAGCGGGTGCCAATAAAACAATAATACGTTACATAACTCACTGAGGAATATTAGCCAGTCATTTTTACACCAGGGTTCAAACAACACAGATTACATTTTCCAGACGACAATGGCAACGCAGAACTTTAGTAGAGAACGGTTTGCTGGCGAGTGTTATGAGTGGGCGCAGGGCAGCTCCCTCGACACCCGCCTTCGAAACGCCCTCTACCACCTAATGCACGTCCAGCCCACTCTCCTAGCTAACCCTGACACCCCCAGACACGTCCTCAAAGAACCCCTCGCCTACATCAGGAAGGCTCAGGTACCACCACCCAGTACTGGAACTATTTTAATGGAATCCTATTAATATAGATACTGATGAGCTTATGTGAGTTTAGCTTGGTAAAACACAGTACAGTACTATGCTTCACACTCAATGTAAAATTATTTTACTTCTTGAAATAGTCCTTGAATGACAGACATTCTAAAAGAGGGAGAGAAACTTCTAGAAAGACAGTAAAGCTTAGAGAGTATGTGTTTATAGAGTTCATGGGAGCGTCGACTGGTGAAGTGCGTCAACAGCATGGCGGCAGAGCTAAATGTGCCTCTGGCCCGGCGGAGGACCAAACAAGAGAGGGAAGACATCGCCGACCGCTGGGCTGACCTCTCGACAGACGAAAACGGTGAGTTGCAGGGAGAGAAAGGAAGAGAGACACGGGGAGGAAAGGAAAAGAGGAAAAAAGAGAAAAGAAACAGGGATAGGGAGAGAGTATTGGGAGAAGGAAAGAGGTACAGTACCTCACTTAACCACCCTTGTTAGAAACGTGCATCACATCTACCCAATTAAGAACTTAAAGGTATAAAAGTGAAAAAAAAGTAATAAACTAAATCAATCTTCCACTAATTAATTCAGTTTTAGCCTGTTGTTGCAATGAAGTGACAATACATTAATTCAGAACATGTGTAAATTGGGCAGCCCAGCTTATTTCACTTGATACCTGACTGGTTATGTTAATGTTAGGGGCTGGTGAAATAAGCTGGTGTGCCTAATCTTCACGTAATTCATTATTTCTCCCAAAATAACAAAACAATACATCAACTTCTTTCAAACGACACTATGAAATATCTGATACGGAACAAAAAATTGACAGACGTTACACCTCTCCCATCTTGTGTGTACACAAAGGTATTAAGAATAAAGCCTAATACCAGTTTCACCTCCGTCTATAAAAGTGCGCCATCATAAAAGTTTTAGTCATAGTCGCTTTGATCCAAGTATGAGAGTGTCGACAAAACTGATGTATATTTTCTTGGTTCCCGGTGGAGATTTGTCGATGATCCGGCCGGTATACGCCCCTAAGGACTTCTTGGAGGTGCTGGCCAACCTGAGGAACCCCAACTACGATGAAACCATGTAAGTAAAATTAACACTGACGATACTCTGTAAGTGATGTCAAGTAACTCATGAGATCTTGTAATTAACATAAAGTAACTCTGACAATGGCCCCTGTGCTTACTCACCTCTGCCTCAAAACCCAACTTTTCCTTCTTCTTGGAAGCATGCCTTGGTTCAGCCCATCCCGAAGAAGGGTGACCTTTCTAATCCCTCTAACTATCGCCCCATTGCCCTAACTTCATCCCTCTAAGATTTTCGAAACTATCTTAAACTCCCATTTTCTCCGTCTCCTTGAACGCCTTTCTCTTTTGTCGGATCACCAGTATGGCTTTCACCAGGCAAGATCTACTGGTGATCTGCTCTCCTATTGCACCCATCTTTGGTCATCCTCTCTTAGGGATTATGGGGAAACTTTTGTCGTAGCCCTCGACATCTCCAAAGCATTTGACAGGGTATGGCACATGTCTTTGCCATCTAAACTTCCCTCTTTTGGTTTCTCTCCCCCACTTTGTTCTCTCATCTCTAGCTTCCTTGAGAACCGATCCATGGCAGTTGTTGTCGAAAGTTCGATCTCTCGTTCTTTCTCTACCAGTAGTGGTATCCCACAGGGTTCTGTTCTTTCACCTACTCTCTTCCTTCTTTTTATCAATGAATTACTTCACACTACAACTAATTCTATCCATTCTTACGCTGATGATTCTACTCTCCACTCTTCTTCACATTTTACCCTTCCTCCTAACTCTCAAACTAGATCTGTTTCTAGAACTGATATCATTACTTCTATCAATGCGGATCTGTGCAGCATCTCTGAATGGGGAGGTACAAACTTGGTTAAGTTCAATAGTAATAAAACTCAATATTTATCAATTACACTCTGTAAATTAGACGATCTCCCACCAATTACATTTCAGGACGCTATCATCCTGCCAAATTCTGAAATAAATATGTTAGGCCTCACCATTTCTTCCATTATGTCCTAGAAATCACACATCCTTATATAGCTAAAGCTGCCTCCTGAAAGTTGGCAATGCTGTGCAGATGCCGTAGCTACTTCACTCCTGAGCAGTTTCTCCAATTATATAAGGGATTCATTCGTCCTAACTTGGAGTACTGCTCTCGTATCTGGGGTGGCTCTTTTTCTGTCCAACTATTAGATAGGGTGGAATCAAAGGCATTTCGTCTTATTAACTCTCCTCCTTTAGTCGACAATCTCTCTCCCCTTTCTCTTCGCCGCAATGTTGCTTCACTCTCTCTCTTTTACAGGTACTTTAACGGGCAATGTTTAGGGGATTTGGCATCCTGTGTACCGCCGGTAAGGCCGTGGGTTCGTAACACACGTCATGCCCGTGGTGCCCACCGTTCTCTGTGGATGTCGGTCGCACGAGAATAACCTGTTATAGTACCTCCTTCTTTCCTCACACAGCCAAACTGTGGAATGCTCTGCCTTCTTCTGTGTTTCCATACTTATACAATCTGTCTCACTTTAAAAAGCTGGTTTTCCGGCATCTTCGTGGTATAGATAAACACAATAGTATAACCTTTTTGTTCTCTATTTTGAATTTATTTCTGTTCTTTTTTTTTTCGCCCCCCAGGCCCTGTTGTGGGTCGTTTGACCTGTGCCCGGGTGGGCTAGTTCCCGTAAAAAAATAACCCAGTAATTGACGTGAACTAAGACGAGATCATATAAATAGCGCCAAGTATCTATGGCGAGACAAATAACGTTAAGTATCTATGACAAGACCATGTAAGCCATGCTAAGTAACAATGACAAGACAAATAAATATCTAGGACGAGGCTCTGTAAGTAACGTCCAGTAACACCAAAACAATACCAACTAACACCAAAAGACAACCAATTGTTTGAGACAACGAGGTACAACATAACTAATAATAAAAAAAGGTAAACAATGCTGTAAAAACCTTTTAACCCAAGAACAGGTGCAAAACACAGACAGATGATTACGGTACGATATCAGATCATCGTTTCGTTCGTAAGTCATATTTTCAACCTTAAGGCCCTAACCGCCAGATATCGCCTCATTAACCATGTCGATTAGCATCCATTGGTTTATTTGTCAATAATCTGTCTTATACGATATTTGTGTTAGGAATATTTCACTAATGGACGAGTTGACGGTCGGAATTTTTTTCATAAGATAACAGGTCAATGGGGAAAGAAAACACTTAAATTCACTATGGTAATGATATTTTTAAATAAATTGGGCCAAAAAGTGTCAAAAATAAGGGTTAAAGTTGCTAAAAAGCTCTGTGATTGGTTGTGACGTCACTGGTTGGGCGAGCTTTCCGGCTGGAGGCAGCCAGCTGTAGTTTGTCCAACCTTTTTGGCTGATCGGCTCTGTAAATAAATATTTGATAATTAATTGTGCTTTACTGTGCAACACAGTAATACTATTTTGAGTATATAAATATTACTAAGCTCATAAACTAATTCAATGGATATTAGCTGGTCATAAAACATTTCATAGTAAAACATTTCAAACGATACAGTCGGCCCTTAACATATGCGGGGGTTAGATAACAGAGATACCCGTGAATGTTAAAAATCCCTGTACTATTGCTGCCCCCCCCCAAAAGATTCCTGGCCCCTCCATGTCCTTATTTACCGTATATACCTGTGTGTAGTTCGAGTTTTTAAGACCAAATTATTTGGCAAAAAATTGGGGTTCGACCTCTAAACGGGTAATAGTTTCGTGAGGTTGAAAAATAATTACCAGTAAACAATGGAAACGACGCACCACCAGCTGTGAGTGTCGGTACAGTTGCCAGGGCAGATCTCTTGCGCCATCATAGCAAGCCCAAAGTAGACAAATGCATGGTATGGTAACACAAGATGATGTAAGACATAAAGTATTAATTTTTTAAAGTTTATTTATAGATACATAAATTTTTGTTCATTACATTTGAAACATCAATCTTTGTTAATTAAATTTGAAACAAAAGAAAACTACGATACCGTATTTCTAAATACTGGGTATTTTCATTAAAATATTACATCACAAGTATATTTTACCTTAACTGTGACTGAATGAATATATTCTCAGAAATAAATATGGAAATGTAATATTTTTGCTGAAATGACGTACGTATTACAGTGGAAAGTGGGATAAAATCATGACGAAAACAATGACTTTCGCTTTCTTTCGTTGTTCAAAAGATTTTACCGTAATCGCTTTTCCAATGGTTTTCAGTTAAAAAACTGTTGTATTACAATAATATTCTATCCTAATTCACTTGAATAAATACTACAATACCATATTTCTGAATATTTTCATTAAAATCCATCAAAATCATTTTCCTTATCACCGTCTTCAGCACCAAACAGCTCCTCCCAGTCTTCTCCTTGAACAGGGCTAGAGGGTACGTGTTTTTCGAATCGTTTTCAGTTAAAAAAACTGTTACATCACATGTATATTTTACCTAAACTGTGCCTGAATGAATATATTCTCAGAAATAAATAGTAGTTTTGCTGAAACGTGATGTATTTCAATGTAAAATAGGATAAAATACATAACGAAAACAAAAGACTTTACCTAACCTTCTGATGTTCAAGAGATGTGACACGTTTTTTATAGTTTTCGGTTAAAATACTGTTATATTTCAATGATATTCTATTCATACTGTGCTTGATATACTACATTCATGGAAATGTAATATTTTTGCTGAAATGACGTACGTATTACAGTGGAAAGTGGGATAAAATCATGACGAAAACTATGACTTTCGCTTTCTTTCGTTCAAAAGATGTTACCGTAATCGCTTTTTGAATGGTTTTCAGTTAAAAAACTATTGCATCACAAGTGAATTAGGATAGAATATTGTAATACAACAATTTTTTAACTGAAAACAGTTTGAAAAGCGATTACGGTAACATCTTTTGAATGAAAGAAAGCGAAAGTCATTGCTTTTGTCACTTTCCACTGTAATACGTACGTCATTTCAGCAAAAATATTACATTTCCATATTCTCAGAAATAAATAGTAGTTTTGCTGAAACGTAATGTATTTCAATGTTAATTAGGATAAACTACATGAAAACAAAAGACTTTACCTAGCCTTCCGATGTTCAAGATATGTTACTCGTTTTTTTAGTAGTTTTCGGTTAAAATACTGTTATATTAGTGATATTCTATTCATACTGTGCTTGATATTGTGGGGTACTGGTTATTTGGTTCACACTCAGGATGGGATGGGGAAAGGAAACTCACAATGTGCTCTCTGTATACATGTTGTATTGGATGTACAATGCAGCTTGGTACTGGGAAGGCAGCATGGTTACAAGCGTTGAGTAGAGAGAGCTGGTTGGTGAGGGTGCTCAGAGGAGGACCAGCTTGTGGGTTGCCATGCTCGCCGGCGGGAGCGAGGGCCGCCAGGCAGGAGCGGAGGAGGTGGTGTTACTTGAAGACTGGCTGTAGGTAGAAAGAGGTAGGTCATCACAAGGTCAGGTCTTATATAGCAGAGGTAGGCGTGGCTTAAAAGTTGACCTCCGTCATGTAAGGCGGCGCTGGTTGACCTAGACACGAGGTGCGGCTGGATTCGTGGGTCGGCTCGTCAGCGACAAACAGCGTTTGTAGGGGAGGAATCCACTACAATACTCCTCCTTCCCTCCAGGCAGTGTAGGAGACTTGTTGTCTGCAGGGTTGCATGGCACATGTGAGACATAATGGGCGGTGCATGCCACATGTGAGACATAACGGCGAGGGCGTGGATAAGCAGGCCGCTAGAGGAGACAACTGTCTAGACACACAAGATCTGTGGAAGAAGAGAGGGAGAAAAAGGGTGTGTGGGGGCGATAAATGTTGTGCTTCTGTCGCTGCAGGGGCAGCATCCTCATGGTCACTGGCTGGGATGACTGGGTCAGGGGTGACGTCAGGAGGAGGGTCTATGATAGGAGCAGGTTCTACAACAGCAGCAGGGTCCACGACAGTAGCAGGGTGCAGGACAGTAGCAGGGAGTGCCTGAGGCAAAAAGAAGGTGTGTGGGGGCGATGAATGCTGTGCTT